TCTGTGAACGCAGAAGCATTGCAGACAAAGCGCGATCGGACTGAATCCTTGTCTTAGTCTAGACGGAGTGCTAGTGCTATCATAATAAAACACACACATAATAATACACACCAAATAACACCCATTAAACAAATGCATCCTAAATGTGTCAATATTAATTCTGTATCCATGTTGAATATTCAAAAACAAATAAATCACTTACAAATTCTGCACTGCGCTGAAACCACCCCTTGTTGTCATGTGTTGAAATACTATGTTTCTTAGGGTTTTCCTCTACATATAAAAAAAGAAAGAATGAAAGACACAGACAGCACATGTCAAAGACACAGGCCTACTCATGAGCAAGGGATTGTAGCCTACAGCATGTGAAAATTAGGTAAAATGAGAGGGATGGAGCATGGAGGAATTTTATGTTTTCCTCAGGTCTACAAGGTTTACATTAGGATATTGCCTATTGTGTGTCAATGATGTGATTATGTCAACCTTGAGTCTTTTCAGCAGCTTTTCAGCTGGTGGAGGTCTGGCTGCAATTCTGAACTCATGCAGAAAATCATTTCTGAATTTAGCGCAGAAATGTCCATGGAAGCCACTGGAAAACTGTTATATTGAAAAGGAAAAACATTTATACAATGTGCTCATATTGGAACATTTCACTGGTAAATTTATTTCAGCACATCTGGGTCTTAGGAAACATTGGCTATTCACACATTTCTGACATTTGTGTCACTGAGCATGAACAATCTATTCACAAAAAAATACAGAGCCGGTCTGACATCGCTGAAGAGTACCTGAGTGGGGAAAGGTCTTTGCGGAACCATGATACACTTGCACGTGATGAAACGTTTGTCCACTGTAGCCAACCTTTGCAATATAACCGTAATTCATATCAAACAAAACCAGATGTGTTCTTGTGTTGTTGATTACCATAAAGAAGCTACCTAGCTAAGTAGAATAAGTTTCCATTAGACAATTTTGTATTTAGCTAGCATAGAATTTCCTTGAAAGCCAACAACATAGTTAGCTACAGGAATACAGTGGTGAGTAGCTAACATTGATGAAAAAAGCAGAACATGCTAACTTTAGCTTAAGCTAGCTGGCTAGCTAACGTTAGTAGCCAGGACATGAAGTCCATAAAGAGTAACGGAGCAAGCTAGCTAGCTAACGTTACCAGCCAACTGGCTGGCTAGCTAGCTAATACATTTGTTGTGTGGTTTGTGTTTTGGCTTTCTGTAATTTGAAATCGGTTTGTAATGATTTTATATGTTAATCAAACAATGAATCCCAACATGTGGAATATCAAAGAGATTTTAAGCATCCCAACTGGATTCAGGTAAGCATAACCAGTGGTGATTTTAGCATGTAAATCTTGGCGGGGCAAACAAAACAAAAAGATGTGGGATGCATGCCAGCAAAGCAACTACACAACACCACACTAAACAATACATTAATTGCACTATAACGGTGACAAAAGGTGCCCACAAACTGTTATGGCCTACATAAAGCTGTCCCAACAGCAGAGTCCCAACAGCAGTCCCAACAACTTACCACTGCTACACCTGGCTATCAATGGAGCCTTGTCTGGCAGCAAAACAGTTCATTCAGCCTCATTTACTGCCTTTTAAAAAAACATAGCTGAAATGGCTGACTTGCTTAAACAAATGTGCTTTCTACTGTAAATTGAGATGTACAAACTATGGCATAAGGGGATGACAAGCGGATAAGAGGCAATCCGTAATTTCAATTAAGACATTCATGAGCGAGCTCGGACGGACGTAGTCAACATAACTATTTGTTCAGCACTTTTGAAATGTACAGCGACAGAATTCAGAACATGGGCCATTCTTACAGTGTTCTCCCTGTACACCAAGTCAGAACCGTAGGATAAATAAAGGGGGCATATAAGCAGACAATGAAAGCTCTCACAATATTTGATGATTACATTTCTCTAAAACAGGTTACAGGCTACATGTGCACCACCAAGTCAGAACAGTAGGTGAAATGTCACGCCCTGGCTCTGGGACTCTGTTATGTTGAGCCAGGGTGTGTGGTTTCTATGTGTTTTGTGTGCTAGGGTGATTATCTAGTTCATTTGTTTCTATGTTGGCCGGTGTGGTTCTCAATCAGAGGCAACGTGTATCAGCTGTTGCTTGTTGTCTCTGATTGGGACCATTACTTAGGCAGCCTGTTTTCCACAGTGTGTTGTGGGATCTTGTTCCGTATGGTTTGTATTGTAACCAAGGACTTCACGTTTCGTATCGTTTGTTGTTTTGTTTGTGTGGTGTTCTCTAAAAAATAAAGTATGTTCACTTATCACGCTGCGCATTGGTCCACTTCCTCCGACGATCGTGACAGAAGATCCCACCATAACTGGACCAAGCAGCGTGTCCAGGAGCCAACGCCAGAGAGGGCTCTAAAGGATATCAACCTCGACTGGGTCAAGCCGCGGGAGGAGGAGAGAGGCTGGACTTGGGAGCAGAGGAGCGAGAGTCTGGCGATAGCCATGGAGGCCTGGCCCACGGGGAGGAGAGACGGCCAGAACATTTTTAGGGGGGGGCTCACGCCGTGGACGACGGGGCAGCAGGAGGCCGGGATAGAGTGGTTCAGCAGGTTGGCAAAGGAGACCGCCAGGTTACGGGAGTCACTGGTCACCAGGGGGAAGGAGAATGTAGAGGCACGGCGAGAGGTACTGGGGTGTGTTGCCAGTCCGGTCCGGCCCGTTCCTGATCCCCGCGTAGGGCCAGTGGTGTGTGTCCCCAGTACGGTCCGGCTTGTTCCTGTCCCTCGCACCGAGCCTGTGGTGCGCGTCGCCAGCCCGGTCCAGCCTGTTCCTGCTCCCCGCACCAAGCCAGTGGTGCGCCTCGTCAGCCCGGTTCGGCCCGTCCCTGCTCCCCGCACCAAGCCAGTGGTGCGCCTCGTCAGCCCGGTTCGGCCCGTCCCTGCTCCCCGCACCAAGCCAATGGTGCGCGTCGTCAGCCCGGTCCGGCTCGTCCCTGCTCCCCGCACCAAGCCTGTGGTGCGCATCGTCAGTCCGGCACAGCCCGTGCCTGTTCCACCGGTGCCTGGTCCGGCACCGGTCAGCTGCTCCACTCCGGAGCTAGAGCAATCCGCTCCACCAGTGTTCAGTCCAGCTCCGGCCAGCAGGGCCAGACCGGACCAGGGGCGCTTTCGGGGGTTTGTTGGAGGGTGGGGGTCAAGCCCGGAGCCGGAATGCCCACCCGGCCCTCCCCTGTTCGGTTTATGTTTGGCGCGGTCGCAGTCCGCGCCTTTGGGGGGGGGGGGGGGGGGGGGGTACTGTCACGCCCTGGCTCTGGGACTCTGTTATGTTGAGCCAGGGTGTGTGGTTTCTATGTGTTTTGTGTGCTAGGGTGATCTAGTTCATTTGTTTCTATGTTGGCCGGTGTGGTTCTCAATCAGAGGCAACGTGTATCAGCTGTTGCTTGTTGTCTCTGATTGGGACCATTACTTAGGCAGCCTGTTTTCCACAGTGTGTTGTGGGATCTTGTTCCGTATGGTTTGTATTGTAACCAAGGACTTCACGTTTCGTATCGTTTGTTGTTTTGTTCGTGTGGTGTTCTCTAAAAAATAAAGTATGTTCACTTATCACGCTGCGCATTGGTCCACTTCCTCCGATGATCGTGACATGAAATTAAGATGGGAAAATAGACCAAATTATTAGGGTGAGGCACATTGGCTACTAACATCTTACTACACAACATACACTTAGTATTACTTTCTTAGCTACAGTATACATATCTCCCTGGCATATTACATTGTTTATGCAGCAGCATACAATACATTTTTGGACTCACATTGTTGTGCTGTGCTCACCTGAACAGGAAGGTGGCACAGCGGTCCTTCGTGGGCAACTTTTGTCATCAAACTTTGTCATCAGTCTGGCATTCTCTGGATTTATGGTGCTTTCAAGACAACTGGGAACTCTGAAAAAAAAAACAAAGTCGAATCATGATGACATCAGTGATCTTCAGGTCGTAGCTCTAGAAAGAGGCCAGAGTTCCCGACTTACAATTCCGAGTTGGATGACCGTTCAAAACGTATTTTCCCAGTCGGAGTTCATTTTTTTCCTGAGTTCCCAGTTGTTTTTAACTCACTGAAGTCAGATGTCCCAGTTCCGAGTTAACAGTTATTTTGAGCACAGCAGAAATCATGTTGGATTGACATCATGGCCAATGTTGAATGTTTATCATTTTAAGCTTGGGAAAGAGACCCTTAATCCTAGATTTGGGACCACACAGCCACTCCACTGAATAGCAGGCTAGTGATTGCTTTGCAATGCTTGCAGTTAGCCACTGATTCCTTCCAAACCACTCATTGTTGAATGCGATTTCCAACTTGTTGTGTAATGTTTATGTCCAATGGCCGATGAGCAACGATATATTTTATCTGTAATTTCTCTTCATTATTTATCTTCATATGACAAGGATTAAAAAGGATTTGCCAGTACATTGTCGACTTGATTCATGATGATGACTGCTAGCTAAGATTTTGAAAGTATGATGTTGACATGAACAAGCTACTGTAGATATAACGTGATTTGACATAATTGTATCTGTGGCCAATGACCTTGAGCCTTCTTGGATGGGCATTTATAATGTAACTCTATGGCAGCACCCAAGGGGCTTGAATTTTCGAGCTCTACCCTTAGAGAACATTACCAACCCCTATGCTCCGTATTTTCCGCTGGCTGTCCCACCACCACAGAAAGCACTGAGCTAGGCTGAAACACTTTTTTCGCTAAAAATGTGGGTCCCAAAACAAGTGGCTCTGCCCCACCTGCCCTGAATGATGGATCGCCACTGAGCATAACATTAGCAAAGAAGATAATACTCCCCAAAATTGATTGAAAAACTTTAACTGTTACAGTGGCTTGCTAGCTAAGCGTGCACTGCAGCAGACAATTTATTCAGCTTTGAAAAATATAGTATTATTTAAATTGAGCTAGTTAGCCTAAATGTTTGTGTAGCCCCTTAAATGAATTAAAAATGTGTGTGTGTGTTTTTATAACATGTAACGTTAGTGGGCCCAAGATCACCATCAGGTATGGGGCTACCAGTGACTACTCCAGCTTGACAGACTCACAGTTTCTGTTTGGATCCCAGTTTTGGCCTGAAAACTCTCAGGACATGTCGCAGGACATGGGCTTTTCAAACAGAACATCCGGTAATGTTAGCTCACAGTCACAGGAGGTAGGTATTAGCCCATCTTTTCTTCAATTTGCTGAACCATCTTCTTTTCATATAATCATGTCCACGTTTGTGCCACAGTGTTGAGCTCAGTAAATGCATTATTTTTGCTCATAATATGTAATATCCCATCAATTTATAACACAACGTTTAGCAATTCACCTGTTGAGCTGAAGAACAAACTCAAAATTGTCAGAGCTTCTCTTTGTTTTATGATGAACCGGACATTGTGTTTCAGGGAAGTGAGCCAAAGATTTCAAGCAGTTACCATGCCAAACCATTCCTGTTCGGAGACGTAAAGGACAAAGGGAGGGCACCAAGCTTTACAAGTGACAAAACTATTGGTGTACTGGACAGGTGTGAAGAGTACAAGAAAAAGGCAAAATAAAATTGTGAGCGGTAGCTGTGCCTAATGAGTGTCACCTATGTCCATGTTTCTGCAGGGGTTTTATTGTGTGAAAGATACAAACAATATAAGGTAGCCTATTTTGTGGTTTAATTGTATTTTTATCAGTGACATTCTCACCTCTGGATTCCTACAATTATGTGACAACCTTGATAATGTAAGTCAACATCCAGAATAAAATATTTTTGCTGAATGGTGCTACTGGCCTGGTACTCGTTTTCTGATAAGATAATGATCAACTCTGCTTCTATGTGTGTTTAAGATCAAGCGCTCTATAAATCATATTGATCAGAGCACTACAACGGGCAACAAAGATTTTGCAGATTTTGCAAAGACATTGTTGGGATCTATTTTCTTATAACTAGATGTGATGCCTAGCTTAGAAAGAACATAAACATAATAGGTTTTTGCTGTACTGATATAGATTGTTTAACATAACAAGCTGTGATTAATGTGAGGAACCGTTATGGGGGTAGGCTGAGACAGACTTGTGACTCACATACACACACACTGCCTCTTTGTTAAACCGCTCAAGGATATGTGTTCTGCTACAGTGGAGAGGAACAGACTATGTCTGAGGTTGCTGACTCGAGACAAGTTGTGGAGATAACAACTAATGCCTGGCAACAGTGAAGCGCCAAGGGGCTGGGACCAGCCTGTGCACCAACGATAGGCTGAGTTAAAAAACCACGCTCAGTCTCTACTCTGATAGGCCTGCTTGGAGCAGGAACTATCTCTGCCAGAGTATTTAAAGAAGAACTTATAACAATGGCTCAGTTCTCTGACTGCCCTGTGTGGTTTTTCAGTGGGCCCGTATATACGAACATCATATTTACCATTCTATTGTTTGCATTAATTAAAATACTAGTCTATTTTAGAAGACGTGTATTGACCTCTTTTTGTTCCTATACCAGATTTGAATTGACGCAACTTAACAATTGGTGACCGCCGACGTGATCTGGTAGAGGGACTTCGCTGGGTATTGTCCGGCCGATTGGACATCGCTGTCGTTGGACGGTGTGTTTCACAAAGAGTCCGGACAACTAAAAACAGGCAAGCAGACACCTATTGTTATATAACTAAAGTTCTGCACATTGGCTTTATCCAAATTAATTTTGTGAAACACCTGTATGATGTAAGTGAACTAAATTGTGAATTATTATACGAATTATTATGAGTAGATAAGCACCATATTGTGACATGCAAACTTATGGTAAATGTGAGTGTTAAACCATGGTATTATAGAGTATTGTTCCACTGACACGTACCAGAGGGCTAGGTACGGCTAGGATCAGAGGGACACTTTAGAGTATAGGGGGTTGTATGAATGAGAGTGCGAATGATCCCAATGAAATAAAAGAGTGAATGCGGGTTATTAAAATTAATAAACCTGTATACCTTGATAGAAAACTAATTAGGAGTTAAAGAAGTCTGTAGCTGCTTAAACCGTATAACCCGTTAATAACAATTGGGAACATAAAGGTAGAATAATGAATAACTAGTATGACTAAACTGAAACGTTTGAACTGATATAATTGAACTGTAACGTTTGATGTTTGACATAGCATAATACTGGTTTTAAATAATTATGTTGAAGCAATTAGGTTTATTATTTGATTTAATGTTTGATGTTTGACATAGCATAATACTGGTTTTAAATAATTAAGTTGAAGCAATTTGGTTTATTATTTAATTTAACGTTTGATGTTTGACCCTGCAAAATACTGGTTAAATAATTAGACTGAAATAATTTGGTTTATCATTGAAATATAAATATGCACCGACTTTCACTAATTAGGTGGGAATAATTTGATTTAAATAAATAGATAGACATACTTTAAATAATTAAATAACGGACAAATATTACAAATTAAAACGAAAAACATGACTACCAGTGGAGAAGCGGAAAGAATATTGAAGGTTCTAAAATCCACACTTGAAACTAATGGAGGAAAGGACGGGAAGGAAGAAGCAGTGAGAGAGAGAGAGAGAGTAGGAGGGGGCAAGTACCCACTGATAGCCTTACCTAATCTATTGGCGGGGAATGAAAGAGGCCCCAGCAACCTTAAATGTATAACGTATGAACTTGCCCACCCGAACATAGACGTACATCATGGGTGAGAAAGTAGAGAATATTTACATTTGCGGTCATTTAGCAGACACTCTTGTCCAGAGCGACTTGTAGGAGCAATTGGGGTTGGGTGCCTTGCTCGGGGGCACATCGGCAGATTTTTTGCCTGGTCGGCTCGGGGATTGGAACCGGCGACCTCTCGGTTGCTGGCACGGTGCTCTTGGTTACTGGGCTACCTGCCGCCCCATATGAGTTTAAGGTTGTGCCGTTGTTTGATCATGTGATGGGGTTTGATGGGTGATCGGACCATGACTGGTGTGGTTATGGAAGTAATGTATAAATAGTGGAGAGCCAATAGGGGGTTCCATTGAACTATTATGTTTTGTTGGGCATTTCGGTGGCATGGGGTGGGGTCTGTGTGTATGAGTGAATTCGGCGGCTGGTATGGGTGGTGACCGGATACTACTGAGTATTTGGTTTGTTGATGTTGAATGGAAGATTTGTAGCGTGGTTGGGGTTAAATAGAAAGACTCACTTATTCAATAGGGAATGGGTGAATGGAGAGAGAGTTTTTGTGTTGCTGAATGAGGTGAGAGCTAGTGCGGTTTTCATTTGGTGACGTCACTTGCTCTATGAACTGGAAGTATATACTTTGACAGGATCGCGGAATGTGTGGGGTGACTGGCAATGTATGTAGAGGGTCCCTGGTTCGAACCCAGGTAGGGACAGTGGGTAAAGCTTTCGCATTGGGGCTATAGACCTAGATTACTACGTGGATTGAGAAATGTGAAAGGTTGAATTAGATAGCTTAAGTAGAAGTATTCTAGAAAGGTCTATGAAAATATGTTACAAGGTCCCCGCGCCTCCCCCGTTGTGTAGGAAGGAGCAAGGGGAGGGGTGAGAGATAGTTAAAATGATAGGAATATCATTAAATGTATGCTTATCAACGAGAGCAAGTATTTGTTTTATTAATTAGGGCCTAATCAGAGAGAACAGTTAAAGAAATTGAATAGCGAACTGAAATGGCGATAGAGCTGTGAAAATTGAGTCGAGGACAAAGGAGAATAATTTGTGGCTCTGGTTAGCGAAAAAAAAAAAAAAAGAGAGACAGTCCAGCGAGTTAGATTGAGCTGTAAGATTTCAAGTAGAGGTCTAAATACTTGACTGGAAGGCAGTGCTTTGATAAATTCTAATTGTTATTACTTTATTCGATAGGTTGCTTAACACCAGTGGTGTATGCAAATAGTTGGTGAATTCTAGTACGATAATTTATTTTCGTTACGGGGACCAGGGGATGCAAGTAGCTTTAGCTATTATGCTGAGGGAATAGCACCAACCTATAGTGGGTTCTAGATTTGTTAAATAAACAAACTTATATTTTAAACTAAAGTAATGCAATAGGCTACAATTATAACATTATCAGAAAAAGGCACAATTTAATGTGAAATAGTTATTACAATTATTATCATTGATCAAGTAATGATAGAAGGACAGTAGAGGAAAGGCAAGGGATTAAATCTCATTTAGGGAAGGAAGAGGAGTATGAAGATATATTAGGGAGAAAATACCATTAACTGAGGGATATAAAACGTTTAGCTGAAAAAGACAACAGGAATAATTTACCTTACACCCTAATATAGACATTAGACCACACCAGAAGTAGAGATGGCAGGATTACCAGTAGCAATCATGAAGAGAAGGTTCCCAGAAAATAGTGAAGATATTGGTAATATCTCTAACAAATGAGAAAAAGGACCAGAAAGATAGTAACTAAATGGCCAAAGGAGGGAACATTTGATGTAACCGTGATTGTATTGGCTAAAAAATGAAATATGACATTTACAGGGGGGACAGGAACAATAGAAGGGGAGACAGATTTTCCTAGGGGGTTGATCAAATAATTGATAATGGATCATTTGAGATGAGATCACATGTAGCAGATTTAGGGTAATCAATTAAATAATCATTGTATACTCAAGGAATTTTGAGTGGTTTTATGGATTAGTTATGAGGAATTAGATTGATACAAACAATTATTGATGGGTTAGGACTGGGGATATCTGTATCATGTTTTGTGTGTACTACCATCTTTAGATTACTGAAGGTAATTGAAGGTTGACAAAATGTATAACCAGGAGAAAGAGATTAGCTTATCTCATTGGAATGTTGCCCAGGGCTAGGGGGAGCAGTAGTGAAGTTAGGCAGTATTTAGGTCATAAAAGTGAGCTACCAAATTAAGTGGGGCCTGGCTATTTGTGGTTGTTGTTTTTCAAGTTGGGTTTTTCAAATAAAAAACAACACACCTAGTATGATGGTTATAAAGGGTTGTTATGTTAAAATAAGGGATGGCAATTGGATGATAAATTATCAATATTACCTAAGTGATTGTTTAGGTAGGTGGTAATATTGACACATGGGCAAAACATGTGTCAAAAGGGGGATGATAAGTAGATGGTAGGATTCAATAATAAATATATACGAAGGAGAGGACAAAATACTTTAAAAAAAAGTCTGAAATAGAAATTGAGAGCTGAACACGTGTGAAGATAGTTTATTAACCACACCCGTATGTCAGAGGTTTTGTGCCCCACAGGTGAACTAAAGGAGAAGGTGACCCACTCTATCTAACCAGGTGACTGGTGAGCATCCAGTCCCTAAAGAAGAAAAACTGGAAGCAGGCCTGTTGGGAAGGGCCCTATCAGGTTATATTGGTCACTGCCTTTGCCATTAGAATAGCAGAAAGAGCAACCTGGGTCCACGTTACCCACTGCAAAAAGGTAAGAACACATGCAAGCACCACTGAACACATGCAGAGTTAGAGAGAAGAACTGGACCAATAGGGTCTGGGGATCACCTCTGTTAACGAAGATCTCCTACCCCGACCAATCATCACTGTAGTGTGTTCTCAGGGTGTGAGTATGGGGTAGTACCAAGCAGAAAGACTGAGGACAGGAGAGGGTTGGCGGTTTTTGGGAATATGGATAACTTGAGTTGCATCATAGTCTCGGTAATGGTCTTGATATGTCAAGATCCACCACCAATTGTGCTATGCCCTTACTATTGTTAAGAAGTAAAAGAGAAGAGAAGCGACCCGACATACTGACCGTCAAGGACGAGTGGCCTACAAAATGGGAATCAGAGAAGGGCAGACTGTCAGATTCAGAATAAGGGTTAGGGACGTAGCCAATGGGTGGGGTACATGTCAATAAACAAATTGGGATTATAAAATCCTATTATATTCGTGTTCGGCCCCCACGGCGGATTGTTCCTAGACTCAGGTGTTTAAATACACTTGGGGATGGGGATATGAGACCGGGCGGGACTGAACATCCAGATGGGGGGTAAAGAGAATCAAAGGCATCACCAATTATCAATTGGAGATAGTAGTAATGTGACAGACTTAAGTTCGGAAGCACAGGAGAGAATTTTGAACCTTACAGCCCCTGTAACTGATGTGTGGTGGGCGTGTGCCAGTAAAGGCAGTGTAAGGCAGAGAATTCCAAAAGGGTGGCTAGATACGTGCGCCCTGGTTCTACTGGTTCAGCTAGTTAGAATTAGTCACCAGGAACCAAGGATTAAACAGATGTAGGAGGAGTTTTAACAAGAAGGAGAATAGCCCTATTTAGATGGATGCGATTGGGATACCAAGGGGGGTATCGGATGGATACCGAGCTATGAAACAATTAGGGGAAGGGTTTACTACCACGTTCTTTTGGTGGGTGACAATAAAAAAAATTGTGAATTGGATTAATTATATCTATTACGACCAACAACGATTTATTGGCTGGACTAGGGATGCAACAGAAGGGATCTTTGAACAATTATCCGCCATCTCACTCTTATGACTTAGTAAAAAGAGGTTGGCTCTAGATCAGGCAGAAAGGGGTGGTGTCTATAGAATGGTAAGCCATTGTTGTACGTTTATCTCTAACAATACCAGTCCTGACGGGAGTATCTCTAAAGCCCTAGTTGGTATAGATAAACTATCAGCTGAAATGAAGAGCATGGCTGGAATGGAGGGAAACGGACTGTTCTCCTGGTTGAATGATTGGTTTGGTAAGTACTCTGTTATGGTGGTTACTGGATTTCTGACCCTAGTAGTTGTGTTTCTAATATTAATGTGCTGTGCTGCCTGTGTAATTCCTTGTTTGAGAAAGTCTGTTACAGATGTCGTGCATACGGCTGGTATGATGCCCCTCCTAGGGGCTCAAGAAGGGGATGCAGACACTGAGTCTAGCTTTCGGAAGAAACTGGGGTTGACAAAGGATGACCCTTGGTTTGCTATTGGTGAGGTGGTGGAGTGACACCATAGAGGGTGTCTAAAGGGGGCCAAAGTTTACTTCCCTGTTTATGTTTTATGCTTTATTAATCAAGTTAACTATTGTGAATGTTTGTCTTTCCTTATGTGAAGGTTTGAAGTTCCTGGGTGGCTGGTAGCCAACCTAGTACAAGTTAGGTGTAGATGGAGGGACTGAAGGCCTTTTTATTATCATTATTGCCTATTAATAAAAGTGTGATTCTTTTTGTTTGTATTGTATTTTAATGAGTGACACCCTAGTGGGTGTCAAAAGGGGGATCCTACATTTCCCTGAAATTTCTTATTTTGGGTTCACACCCAGCGGGTGTGAAAAGGGGTATTGTTGGGATCTATTTTCTTATAACTAGATGTGATGCCTAGCTTAGAAAGAATACATGAATGATTAAACATAATAGGTTTGTGCTGTACTGATATAGATTGTTTAACATAACAAGCTGTGATTAATGTGAGGAACCATTATGGGGGTAGGCTGAGACAGACTTGTGACTCACATACACACATATGTTATGCTACAGTGGAGAGGAACAGACTATGTCTGAGGTTGCTGACTCAAGACAAGTTGTGGAGATAAAAACTAATGCCTGGCAACAGTGAAGCGCCAAGGGGCTGGGACCAGCCTGTGCGCCAACGATAGGCTGAGTAAGTCTAAAACCACGCTCAGTCTCTACTCTGATAGGCCTGCTTGGAGCAGGAACTATCTCTGTCAGAGTATTTAAAGAAGAACTTATAACAATGGCTCAGTTCTCTGACTGCCCTGCGTGGTTTTTCAGTGGGCCCGTATATCAGAACATCATATTTACCATTCAAGTGTTTGCATTAATTAAAATACTAGTCTATTTTAGAAGACGTGTATTGACCTCTTTTTGTTCCTATACCAGATTTGAATTGACGCAACAAAACAACATGCAAGTCGCTTAGAACAATTTCTCTTAACTTTTAGTAGAATATATTTTGTAATTCTCATTAATAAACATGTTTATAAAGGACATAATCTCTGGGACCAGTAGATGGAACACTTGTTCAGTAGTCAAATGATGATCTTGTGCACATTTTCTTTTTTAGAAAATGTCTTATAACCTCTATTTTTTTTATTATGATAAATGAGCTGGTCTCAGTGGCTATAATGGACAGTATGTAACGTAGATTGATGGTGGCTATCTTTTTACATAGGTCTATAGTGCTATGGAATTTATTGTGTATTAATTAGGATTACCTTTCAACGTATTTCACAGTGCAGCAAAACATAGCCAGTCTGCAGGATGGCTTTGCACAGCAGTTTGAGGCCATGCTGAATAAACTGAGCTCCCAGAATCAGATAATGAGAGAGATGGAGGAGCCGCCAAGGTGAGGACAGGTGGCATTTATAACTGTAATTTCAAGCCTAGGTCCTGATGTTGAATTTACACTTAATGAGGGTGTTTGGAGTGAAAGTTGGTAACAAGTGTGATACTTAAGTGATAATGCCCGAGAAGCTGGTGTTTGGAGGATATATTGGCACGGGTGTTGTTAGGGCCGAGACGAAGTCGAGGGTCGGCAAACCGTGCCAAGATATTCTCCAAACACGTGCTTCGAGGGCATTATCACTTTTATACAACGAGTTACCAACATATTCAAATCTAGGGTTGCTACCCAAGCCGGCTGATCGTTCGTTCTATCGGTTCGGTTTCCAGAAACGCGACCCAGTCGTTAAGTTTTTTCTTATCCCTTGCTTGCTAGCTAGCTAATTTACAGTCAAACAGTGCAGCCAGAATAACAACAATAAGTAGCTGCATTTGCATTTGCATTTGTTTAAGCTGTTTTCTAGTGACAGTTATTTGGATACATCCATAACAATGAGCTAATGATGCGTAATTTCACCTAGCATAGAAAATGTGCTCTCTCATCAGGACACTGTTGTTCAGAGGAGCTAGCCAACAACACAGCTAACACAATCACTTAAAATTGAAGCAGGGAAGACTGCAAACTAGCTGGATTTCGTTTGGTTTTACCTGTTTTCTATTGATATTTCTTTGTATACAGTGCATTCGGAAAGTATTCAGACCCCTTGACTTTTTCCACATTTTGTTACATTATAGACTTATTCTAAAATTGATTAAATTGTTTCCCCCCCCCTCATCAATCTACACACAATACCTCATAATGGCAAGGCAAAAACAGGTTTTAGAAAGTTTAGCAAATGTATAAAAAATGAACAAACTGAAATATCACATTTACATAAGTATTCAGACCCTTTACTCAGTACTTTTTTGAAGCAACTTTGGCAGCGATTACAGCCTCGATTCTTCTTGGGTATGACGCTACAAACTTGGCACAACTGTATTTGGGGAGTTTCTTCTCTGCAGATCCTCTCAAGCTCTGTCAGGTAGGATGGGGGCGTCGCTGCACAGCTATTTTCAGATCTCTCCAGAGATGTTCGATCGGGTTCAAGTCCGGGCTTTGGCTGGGCCACTCAAGGACATTCAGAGACTTGTCCCGAAGCCAATCCTGCGTTGTCTTGGCTGTGTGCTTAGGGTCGTTGTCCTGTTGGAAGGTGAACCTTCGCCCCAGTCTGAGGTCCTGAGCACTCTGGAGCAGGTTTTGATCAAGGATCTCTCTGTACTCTCTGTTCATATTTGCCTCGATCCTGACTAGTCTCCTAGTCTCTGCCGCTGAAAAACATCCCCACAGCATGATGCTGCCATCACTATGCTTCACCGTAGGGATGGTGCCAGGTTTCCTCCAGACGTGACTCTTGGCATTCAGGCCAAAGAGTTCAGTCTTGGTTTCATCAGACCAGAGAATCTTCTTTCTCATGGTCTGAGAGTCTTTAGGTGCCTTTTGGCAAACTCCAAGCGGGCTGTCTTGTGCCTTATACTGAGGAGTGGCTTCCGTCTGGCCACTCTACCATAAAGGCCTGATTGGTGGAGTGCTGCAGAGATGGTTGTCCTTCTCGAAGGTTCTCCCATCTACACAGAGGAACTCTGGAGCTCTGTCAGAGTGACCATCAGGTTCTTGGTCACCTCCCTGACCAAGGCCCTTCTCCCCCGATTGCTCAGTTTGGCCGGGCGGCCAGCTCTAGGAAGAGTCTTGGTGGTTCCAAACTTCTTCCACTGTGTTCTTGGGGACCTTCAATGCTGCAGACATTTTTTTGGTACCATTCCACCAGATCTGTGCCTCTGCACAATCCTGTCTCTGAGCTCTACGGACAATTCCTTTGACCTCATGGCTTGGTTTTTGCTCTGACATGCACTGTCAACTGTGGGGCCTTATATAGACAGGAGTGTGCCTTTCCAAATCATGTCCAATCAATTGAATTTACCACAGGTGGACTCCAATCAAGTTGTAGAAACATCTCAAGGATGATCAATGGAAACAGGATGCACCTGAGCTCAATTTCGAGTCTCATAGCAAAGGGTCTGAATACTTATGTAAATAAGGTATTTCTGTTTTTTGGTTTTTTTACATTTGCAAGCATTTCTAAAAACCGGTTTTCACTTTCTCATTAGGGGTATTGTGTGTAGATTGATGAGGAAAATGTTTAATGAATCAATTTTAGAAAAAGGCTGTAACGTAACAAAATGTGGAAAAGGTCAAGGGGTCTGAACACTTTCCGAATGCACTGTATATCCATACAAATGATGCTGATTCATGATTTCGACTGGCTGCGCAGTCAGATGGAACAGAATAAATATGCATTCTAACGTCATAGATCTAGCCTTGGTAATTTATGGAATAGACACCGTCTGGAATGCGGTTTTAACCAATCAGCATTCAGGATTAGACCCACCTGATTAGACCCAAACATTAGCTGGCCGGCACACACAATATTTGGTTCTGAGCGCTGAGAATACTATTTGACATACTTAAGATAATAATTTCATGTAAGTTATGAACATTTGATTCTGTTGTGTTTGCTTTGAGTTATTATGGGTACAAACAAACGTTGTTGTCCTCTATTCTGTCCTAGACTACAGCACATGCAGGGCCTGCAGCAGAAGCTGGAGGTCCTGAGACGTGAGCAGAGCCGAGATCAAAGCATGCTAGGAGAAGCCCTGTCTCTTCTAGGCACCTTGGTTTCCCAGCACTGGTCCGAACCCCACCCCACCCGTCAGGGTGACAGACAGCACGGTCCAGACATCCCCAGGACTTGTAGAGGTTCTGCCTGGTGAGTGAGGAGAAGAGGTACTTCGAAGGTGTACGTGTCTGCGGTGCGACAGTGGCCACAACGCCTTGTATAGCAGTGGCATCGTGTGGTGTAGGGGAGACGGAAAGAGGGGCGGCTGCACCCTGCAGAGAGAGGACCCAGAGAAGGACCCTCAGAGACATGTGACCAGGGCCAGGCCGTGGCCCCAGAGCCCTGTACCTTCCTCCTGTGATGATGGGGGAGGAGGATCAGCTGGAGCGGTATAGCCAGATCAAATCAAATTGTATTTGTCACATGCGCCGAATACAACAGGTGTAGACCTTACACCATGATGGTGCTGGATAAGCCGGCTAAGACCTCCTGGCAAGGGGTGTTCCCATACCGCACACGCTGTACCGCTGTGACTTACGGACCAGGGACAGGCACAGGACACGCTGCAACTACAGCCCTACAGTACCCCATGCAGGGCTTTCAGGACCCCAGCAGGGCCTATGCGCTGCTACAGGATGTGAGGAGCACCCGCACCATCATGAACCCAAACTGCGACCCAGAGCAGAGCAGCCAGCCCGACCACAGTGAGCTTGCAGCGGTACCCTCAGAGAGCCCCAAGGGCAGGAGCACCATGGCTGTATGTAGGTTCACCCAGAGAGGCCAGAGACAGAGGAAACAGCCCTTCAGGAGCAGGAGGAGGGCACTGATGCCATCACAAACCAGGAGTAATGGTGGAGTAGTGTGCAGGGGTCAGGACGAGAACCGACAGCCCCTCAAAACCAAAGGATGCAGGGAGCTGGATCGACTAGCAAAGAGCAGCATGATCCCAACAGAATGGAATGGACATTCTCAAACCAGAACCTCCGAAACGACAGCAGGACATGGAGAAAAGGTCTAACAGAGAGAAACAGAGGCTTATGGCAGCTGTTTGACATGAACTGTGATTCTGATTTATGTCTGATGGGGAATCAGGATGTCAGTGTATGGAGGGAATGAGGAGGGAGTTGTTTGACAAGCTGTTGTATTTGGTTAAACTCACTGTAAAAACAAAAGTTCACTGTAAAAAAGCACTTTGTGTTTGAGTGTTTTCAAAACCCTTGAAACTGACAGTAAAATTAAACCTTTTATAGAAAATTATGAGATACACTAATATTTGTGTTTTGTTGATTAATTGTGTGATGAATGGTCAGAGATGAATATCTGGCCACAAAGAAAAGGAGGGGATCAAATGAGGGAAGCAGTGGGATGAATAGTTGAAAGGTAGTTGTTTTGTAGATCATTTTTCCAATCCTTACTCACTGAGTGAATTATTGCCAAACAAAACAGACCAGATAAATGAAAGTAAAAGTCTTATGGTGTCATAGTCAACCACGAGGGCACATGCATTACATGCTTGACAAATAGCACAAATGGATGACATGACAATATCAACTGTGATTTTGGAGCCTTTTATAGCTTTCAAGGGCCAATTCATCTCCCATCATAAAGGAGAATGGCAACGCATAACTAGGCCAACACATGGTCAGAGCCCCCTTACGTGTCACGTGTAGGACCCTCTCTTGTCACCTGTTTTTGCAATTCTACACTGTGTGTACAAAACATTAGGAACATCTTCATATTATTTTGTTGCACTCCCTTTTGCACTCAGAACAATTAGTCGGGGCATGGACTCTACAAGGTGTCGAAAACATTCCACAGGGATGCTGGCCCATGTTGACTCCAATGCTTCGCACAGTTATGTCAAGTTGTCTGGATGTCCTTTGGGTGGTGGACCATTCTTGATACACATGGGAAACTGTTGAGCGTGAAAAACCCATCAGCATTACAGTTCTTGACACACTTAAACTGGTGCGCCTGGCACCTACTACCATACCCCGTTCAAAGGCACTTAAATATTTTGTTTTACCATCAATGGCACACATACACAATCCATGTCTCAATTGTCTCAAGGCTTAAAAATCCTTCTTTAACCTGTCTCCTCCCCTTTGTCTACACTGATTGAAGTGAACTTAACAATTGACATCAATGAGGGATCATGGCTTTCATCTGGATTCACCTGGTCAGTCTGTCATGGAAAGAGCAGGTGTTCCTAATGTTTTGTATACTCAGTGTATAGTACTGTACAGGGTTGGAGAACGAGGTAGTGGCAGTGTTCCTTCCCCTTTGAAGTATTTCCACAAATACATGTTTAAGCCTGAGCAAAGACTCAATTTTATTTAAGCTTTATTTGCATGACAAAAATATAATCTTGAACACAGATGTAAAGAGTAAAAAGCGGTGGATGATTGATATACAATAACTAGATTGTGAAGGACCTGTCTATGGTTTACTTTCCATTATTCTAGAGATAGCCAGATGCATTTTACAACGACATACAAAATCGCAACAATTATATTTACAAGCTGTGCCATAAAACCCACTAAGGTATGATATTCATTGAAGATAAATACAATGTTTACTTCTAAATGTGCAACTCAGTAGGTCATATACAGTTCAAGACAAGTGCAGAGTTGTATTTTGTGTAGTGCCCCACTCAGGTCAGGGCTTCAAACACTAACTGTGTAATGTCACAAGAGATCAAATGCGTCTCAGTAAACCAACAAGCACCACCAGGATCAGCCAGCACTACTGAATTTTGACTCCTGGCCCACAGGAGGTCTTCCTCAATATTATCCGCTCTCAGTTTTCATAAAAAAATATTATTGCCCAAGCTGCTCTTAGATAAGAACAGGTCCTTAGACCTTAGGGTGGGTGGGTGTCACTGAGTTACTAGGTCTGCTGGGGGAGACATGAGCTCCCGGGGATTGAGGCTTGCCACCAAGCAGACGTCGTAGGCATCATGCATCAGAACATGGCGGGCCACCACGGTCCAGCAGTTCTCCCATGGGTCTAGTTCCAGGATGTCCTTGATTATGTCCTCATGACGATCTGAGGGAAACAAGGATCGGGATAGGCCAGGAATATAATTTTTGTCACTATTAGAATCAGGCATTTTAAAGAGTGGTGCGGCAATCAAATTAAACAGCATTCAGCTACAGTCAACTTGTTAAGTTCTTAAAAGGACAGGTCATCTTTTACTCAAACAAGTCCCACATGATGTCACAGTTTTATGAACAGTGGAAAGTCGAAAAGGCACTTGCTGCAGGTGCATGGGAATAATGCGATAACTTCAAAGAAAATAGAAACCCGCACACTGCTCTTGCTAGTATCACTTAATTTTATTGAAGCTTACGTTTTGGCCTTCAAAGCTCTGACGAAGGCCTAGAGGCCGACACGTAAGCTTCAATAAAATTAAGTGATACTAGCGAGAGCAGTGTGCGGGTTTCTATTTTTTATGAACAGTGGAAAGGAAAGTGGGTTTAGTTACCAGCTCCCTTGTAGTATCCGCACACATATAGCTTGCCCCCCACCACTCCGGCGTTGGAGGCATTGCTGCGTAGCGATAGCTGCGGAGAGGGCATAGTGGGCCCATCTCTCCAGAAGTCTCCATCAGGGTTGTAGATCTCCACAGCATCAAGGCAACGACGGGACTGCCCACGATCTACCCCCTCACAGCCGATGCCCCCTGTTAGAACACAACTGGGTTGTTTTCGTGTACTGGGACATTTACTTCCTGTGTTGTCAAGTACTACTTTCAAAAACTCTTGAAATCTAATCTGTCCAAACATACTGTTTATGTTGAGGGGGGTTGAGGGGTTTCTCTAGTAGAAATCAGACACTGAACATCAAATTATGAGGAATAATCACTGGTTGCTGACACAAAGTGACCATCATCGTCATGACCATCATGAAACGAATGAAAGCAATGTGCTAAAAACCAAACGGCGTATGTGTTATTTATCTTTTAAATCTCACCCATCACGTAGATTTCCCCATTGAGCACCACAGCATTACAGCGGTACTTGGAGTGCTTCATGGGACCCAGCTCTGTCCACTTATTTGTCTCAGGGTCATACTCCAACAGACGGTTACTCAAGCGGTCTGGCTCGTCGTCCATCCGCCAGGACTGCCAGGGGGAATGACAGGACAGGACAGGACAGGTGCAGAGTTTAGAGAAGGAGGAGGGGATAGAGAGCGGGCTCACAGTCACACACTGACACAGATAGTGTTTCTCTCTGCTCACAAGGCCTCACAGCCTCAAGCATAGTGTGTACATGAGTGAGAATGAGGGACTCTAAAAATACATGGATGTTGTGAGACTGAATTAAACAAATGTGAAATGCCTCCTGGCCACGCACGCACACACACACGCACACACACACAGCTAATACAGAGCAGCATTGACTGACTATTCATCTTATTGTATATCAAACCCCTTCTCTTTAGACCATTACCTGTGGAGTTCGACCCCCGAGCACGTAGAGGCGGTCCTTCAGACGGACCACACTATGATAGGCCAGTGGCATGGGTAGCGGGGCGGCACTACGCCAAGGCCCACCCTGCAGGGACCAGCGCTCCACACAGTTGGTGATGAGGTACTGGTTCTTCAGCTTCATCTGGCCTCCCAGTAGGTAAATAGTATCACCCAGTGCCCCCAGCGCGTATGAGTCTCGGTATTCAGCTGAGCTCAGGTGCTCCCAGGTCCCCTGGGCCTCCACCCTGTACCTGAGGAGGCCAACACAGACAAGAGTCAGGGACAGGGGTTTTAGTCCGACTCTAGCATGCTAAAATGAACACAGGAGTGCTGACCATCATTCTCACCTGGCCACACACTCTACCTGTCTACACGTAGCAGTCTGAAGTGTCGCCACTTGCGCCAGCGAATAGCTAGCTTTTCGCGTGGTGCCGATTGGTAAGACGCTTCAAGAGGGAGGTGTCATGACTTGCCCTCATGGGTTGAGGATCATTCCTGCTAGGCAAAGGTTTGAACACCCCCTTTCCTGGGGGCCAGTTTTATGACTTAACAGCCAGTCATAAATAGTTTGCAGAAAATGACTCCTTTTGGTCTCTAGTATGGGAAGAAAGAATTTCCCTGTGAGACAAAGGAAGTCTTCCCGCCAAGACTCCAACATCCAAAAGTGGATAATGAAACAATATTCCTACTTAAAAGAATGTGGAAAATGGTCAGTGGGGATCTAAAGAATAATAATGTCATATTGTTTATTATTTTGTGATGTCATTAAGGATGGTATCAAGTAATAACTGTAACTCAGAAAGTGTACATATTCTATCTATCAAGTTTACATCTAAATGTTGTATAAAATATATTATTAAGTATGAGAGTATTTTGGTGAAGATAGGAATGTGATTTTAGTCTTCTTCTAAAGATAATAGTTTTTCATATAAACTATGCACAGTGACTAGCCACGCCCCGAGTGACATCAGAGATCGTGTAAACATGATGGAACGCCCCTTTTACCCCGAGTGCATAAAAAGCCTTGAAAAACAAATCAACCTTTAGACCTGCAGACGTGAAGCGTGAAGCTACACGTTACAAAATGGTTAGACTAGAAAGACCAGCAGACGTGAAGCATGAGCCAAACGTTGCAAATGGTTGAATTTCTACAAGACCAGTAAGCCCCACGGCTTAAAATGGTTGACACTCTACAAGACCAAGAAGGGTGAAGCTGAAGCTAAACGTTACAAAATGGTTAGACTAGAAAGAACAGAAAACGTGAGACGTTAGTCCACACGTTTGAAATGGAAAAACTCTCAACCTCTCAACCTCTACACGAGGTGAAGAAGAAGACAATGCACTAGACCTTATCATTTCAGTCTGCAGCTGGCATGTACAGTTGAAGTCGGAAGTTTACATACACCTTAGCCAAACACATTTAAACTCAGTTTTTCACAATTCCTGACATTTAATCCTAATAAAAATTCCCTGTCTTAGGTCAGTTAGGATCACCACTTTATTTTAAGAATGTGAAATGTCAGAATAATAGTAGAGAGAAGGATTTATTTCAGCTTTTATTTCTTTCATCACATTCCCAGTGGGTCAGAAGTTTACATACACTCAATTAGTATTTGGTAGCATTGCCTTTAAATTGTTTAACTTGGGTCAAACGTTTCGGGTAGCCTTCCACAAGCTTCCCACAATAAATTGGGTGAATTTTGGCCCATTCTTCCTGACAGAGCTGGTGTAACTGAGTCAGGTTTGTAGGCCTCCTTGCTCGCACACGCTTTTTCAGTTCTGCCCACAAATGTTCTATAGGATTGAGGTCATGGCTTTGCGATGGCCACTTCAATACGTTTACTTAGTTGTCCTTAAGCCATTTTGCCACAACTTTGGAAGTATGCTTGGGGTCATTGTCCATTTGGAAGACCCATTTGCGACCAAGCTTTAACTTCCTGACTGATGTCTTGAGATGTTACTTCAATATATCCACATAATTTCCCTTCCTCATGATGCCATAAATTTTCTGAAGTGCACCAGTCCCTCCTGCAGCAAAGCACCCCCACAGCATGATGCTGCCACCCCCGTGCTTCACGGTTGGGATGGTGTTCTTCGGCTTGCAAGAATCCCCCTTTTTCTTCCAAACATAACGATGGTCATTATGGCCAAACAGTTCTATTTTTGTTTCAATAGACCAGAGGACATTTCTCCAAAAAGTACGATCTTTGTCCCCATGTGCAGTTGCAAACCGTAGTCTGGCTTTTTTTATGGCAGTTTTGGAGCAGTGGCTTCTTCCTTGCTGAGCGGCCTTTCAGGTGATGTCGATATAGGACTCGTTTTACTGTGGATATAGATACTTTTGTCCCTGTTTCCTCCAGCATCTTCACAAGGTCTTTTGCTGTTGTTCTGGGATTGATTTGCACATTTCACACCAAAGTACGTTCATCTCTAGGAGACAGAACGCGTCTCCTTCCTGAGCGGTATGACGGCTGCGTGGTCCCATGGTGTTTATACTTGCGTACTATTGTTTGTACAGATGAACATGGTACCTTCAGGCGTTGGGAAATTGCTCCCAAGGATGAACCAGACTTGTGGAGGTCTACAATGTTTTTTTCTGAGGTCTTGGCTGATTTCTTTTGATTTTCCCATGATGTCAACCAAAGAGGCACAGAGTTTGAAGGTAGGCCTTGAAATACATCCACAGGTACACCTCCAATTGACTCAAATTATGTCAATTAGCCTACCAGAAGCTTCTAAAGCCATGACATAATTTTCTGGAATTTTCCAAGCTGTTTAAAGGCACAGTCAACTTAGTGTATGTAAACTTCTGACCCACTGGAATTGTGATACAGTGAATTATAAGTGAAATAATCTGTCTGTAAACAATTGTTGGAAAAATTACTTGTGTCATGCACAAAGTCGACGTCCTAACCGACTTGCCAAAACTATAGTTTGTTAACAAGAAATGTGTGTAGTGGTTGAAAAACGGGTTTTAATGACTCCAACCTAAGTGTATGTAAACTTCTGACTTCAACTGTATAGTCGTCTAGATAACTTTCACTAAAGACACGAGATAGAGGACAATCCCTCTCAGACAACCGCTGGTACATCTGAAGTATATCCATTCTAACCACCACTACGACCAGAAACTCTACCAAGGACATTGAGATCTCTGGTGGGCAAACCAGAGTCCTACATCATCAACTCAACTATCGAGGACAGCAACACGTAAATACATGTTGCATTTCTAATCCAAATGAGCGTTATTAGGGTGCATAAGTATTATGATTACTGTGAGCGTAGTCTCCAAAGTAACTACGATAGTTTGAATCTCTGTCTCTCCCTTCCATTCTGACCCCTCCACTACCCAAGCATTCATGCTAATATTAGTCCAGTCCACTAGGGACCTGTTTTCATTGTATTACGTTAGTAATCAATAACCTGTGTGTGTTTGTATTGTGTTATTATTTAGTTAATTAGTAAATAAATAATTATGTCAATTTGTGTATTGCTGATTCATCAATAAGGCTAGGGTTTTTGCAGGTTCAAGGATTATGTGACGTTCAGAATGAGACTGATAAGAGGTAATTATTTAATAAGTGACTGTTATCGATATATATAACATACATATCTTCTAAGAGTTTAATTCGGGAGATGGTAACTCATTAAACAACTTCTTCCGTGGTGCCCCAAATTCCTAATGAGTTAATTGTTACAAGATTAATTTAATCGAGTGACAATTAAACATAGTTAGGTGATTCGATAAATAACAGTCATACATTAAAGTAAGTCACGTCACGACAGCGGTCACGTGTGCTAGCAAGGAAGAGGCCCTGGGTTCAAGCCTCAGTGTGAGCCAAATAAGGAGGAAGCGGTACTCGCTAAGCAAGCAGAGTTTACATACGCACTCTACCTGGCCACACACTCTACCTGGGTACGCACTCTACCTGGCCACACACTCCACCTGGGTACACACTCCACCTGGGTACACACTCCACCTGGGTACACACTCCACCTGGCCACACACTCTACCTGGCCACGCACTCCACCTGGGTACGCACTCTACCTGGCCACACACTCCACCTGGGTACGCACTCCACCTGGCCACGCACTCCACCTGGGTACGCACTCTACCTGGCCACACACTCCACCTGGCCACACACTCCACCTGGGTACACACTCCACCTGGGTACACACTCCACCTGGGTACACACTCCACCTGGCCACACACTCCACCTGGCCACACACTCCACCTGACCACACACTCCACCTGGCCACACACTCCACCTGGGTACACACTCCACCTGGGTACACACTCCACCTGGCCACACACTCCACCTGGCCACACACTCCACCTGGCCACACACTCCACCTGGCCACACACTCCACCTGGCTACACACTCCACCTGGGTACACACTCCACCTGGGTACACACTCCACCTGGCCACACACTCCACCTGGCCACACACTCCACCTGGCCACACACTCCACCTGGCCACAGCACATAAACAGTATGCCACTGACTGTCACTCTCATCACTGACCAATAGGTTTATTACTGCTGATGATTTCATTCAAAACACACATTCCTACCTGAATATCTCCACATTCCTGTCCGTCTGCCTGGCCATTTTCCTCACTCCTGCCTCCCCAGCCACCACAATCTCGTTGCCCTCGGTGACGACCCCGGCACACACGAATCCCAGAACATCTCCATAGCGTGGGGACGTGATGTAGTAGGTGCGGCCCGTGGAGGGGGCATAGCAGAAGCTGCGTTCTGAATAATTTCCATACCGCGATCGGATCCCTCCGCCCTCGTTGCCGATGCAGAGCAGCAGATCTGTGGTCTCCATCCCATAGCGGAGCTTCAGTTTCCGGGGAGCAGCTGCAGGATGCATCCCAGTGGCCTCCAGAGCCTCCTCCATCATCTCCAGACACTCTGCATCTGCCAGAAGGGACATATTCCTCTTCATGGCCTCCTTCAGGTAGTCAGGGGCCACCAGGGGGAGGCGCACCTTCCTCAGGAGCTCAGCCAGGTGTCTACTCCGCCCGTCCTCCACCCAGTCTCCCAGAGTGTCCTGCCTGACCCAGCGCAGCACCACGTCCAGGATGGTCTCCTCCCGTGACACGTTGAGGTCGTCAGAGCTCAGCAGCGCCCCAAGCTGATGGGCCTCTAGTTCTAGAATCTCCTCGCTCATACACACCTGAACGAAGTGTGTCCGTAGGTATCTCTGGGCATGGTCGGCCAGCTCCTCGGCTCCCAGGTCACGGGCGTAGTAGTACACCCCGAGGCAGTTGGAAGCGTCCATGTTCTCCCTCATGTGGCTCTGGCAGCGGTTGAACACCTCGTCCATCTGTAGAAGGAAGGCAGCGACGGACACCCCCTGTACATTTGCGTTGTTGAGTGGGAGCTCAGAACAGTACATGTAGTTCAACAATAGACTCAGGCTATCGGCTGGGGTGTCACGCAGAAATACTTCCCTAGTATTGCACTCCCGCAGGCCACAGGTGAACATGACCCGGAAGTAAGGGCTGAAGGCTGAGAGGACCACGCGGTGGCAGGGGAAGCTGATGCCCTCAGCCACAAGCACCACATCTGTCAGCTTTTCTGTCTCCCTCATCTTCCTCAGCTGGTCCAGAAGACCCAGACTGTGTTTAGCTCTCAGATCCATTTGGATCTAATGTCTATTCAACAGTAATAACTTAACTCAGAATTTTTTTTGAAAAACAGAAATAGATTTAAATAAATATAAAAACAAGGAGGTTCTTTATCTGAAAAGTAGAGAAAGAAAGAAACAGAAGTTCAATGTTGATCTGATCAAGCCCCCAGTACATTGTTTACATTTATGTTGAGTAGAGTTTTGTAATCGGTCATTTTGTGAATATTTTATAGTTAAAAAGACATTCATTATCTTCAAATTTGTAGTTCTGACCTTGTCAATATAAATCAGTACGTGTGAAGAGCCTTTCTTACTGGAATTCCCATTTCCCACATTGACACTTAGACCACAGCATAACAGTACAGCAACTAAAGCATGGCCATGCCCTGCTGCCGCTGCGAAACCAGGGATCCATGTTAAACACTAATTAGTATCATCTCCCACTATGCATTGTGTTACTAAAGTCTTACGCCCTTTAGTCTTATTAGAGAGTATTTTGCCCTTTGATCAGTCAAGCCTATTTCATCCTGTCCTACCAGTCAGTGGGAATCCTCTTATTCCAGTAGACCATCAGGTTCCTCAGCCAGCCAGGCTGCAGGCGTTGTTGTTAATGTAGCTGAATGCACCTGGAAGAGGGGTCAGAGAGTGACAGGGGGCCTAGCTATCCTCTCTGAAACACTGTTTACCTACCCCTTCCCTCGCTGCCTGCCTGAATGCCCTGGCCCTCTGAGCTGAGCAACACACCTTAAAATAGACTGATATGGGCAATGGAACAGCAACTAGGTCATAGAGGCAGCAGGCATATAGCGGTGAGGGGCACACTTTGTTTTTACACAGAATAATGTCAGGAGACTCACATATGATAATGTTGTGTAATGTTGAGCAATGCTCTTGTCGAATTTCACAAGTATAATATAACCCAATTGCTATTCTTTGCTATTGCTATATTTTGGGGGGAAAGGGGGGGTGGGGGTGGGTTCTCGATCACGTGTAGGCTTATGTATCTGTGGAATGGCACATAGAACCAGCTTCTGGGTTGGATTCGAATTTCACGACATCACTCTCTTAAAGTGACTACAGTCATTTTGAATGATAATAATCACAATATTCAAAATAATCATAATAATAAACTTGCGATGATGCAGCTGATACTTTGTTCATACCACTCAACAGATTGATGTTAAAATATTAACCTGAGGTGGTGTGAACCATAGAATTAGGAATTAGTCATTTCATAGGATCTCTATGGTGTGAACATCCTGAACAAAGCAATGAATGACCCTTCTGACCCCTACAGGTATTGCAAGAAACAACAACTGTGATATCCTGTGTAGTCCGTAAATCAGAAATCAGTCAGTAATCTATAATTTTCTTGATGTTGCTTTTTCCATATCTGTCTGTCCACTGTCCTCTAAACCACAGCTGTCTGTAATAGATGACAGGACTAGTATGTCATCAGCTACTGGCTGCCTGGTGTTTTCATGGTTCATTAGCAACACTTTTGCAGTGTAAGGAATCTGGTGGTGGAACACCTCCTTCCTATGACCAGAGTGCAGTCCGGACACCCCAGATTTCCTGAAATGAGGCTCTTCAAGACTTTGAATGACCAAATATGAGGAGGAAAAATGTCTCCTAGTTAGCCATCCCTTACACGCGATGAACCCCCCCCCCCCCCCCCCCCCTCCATTGTGGTGACAGTACTCTCATCTCTGATAGTGATACAGAACCTCAGTCAATGGAAATGCCCATGCGCTTTAGGTGAAAAAGTTTACTTTTTAGTAAACCTGTTTTATTCGGTGTTACCTGTCATATTGTATAAAAGAGGGACTGACAGGCACTTCAAGCGACTTACACAGGGAGGAAGAAATAGCCCAACCTGGTACCACAAGGTGGTATGGGTGCAGGCGGAGGGCTAGGGGGTACGGAGTGGAGTGTGTGAATATGTGTGTGAGTTTCTGATTTATTGCAAATAGATGTGAGTCCTGTGGCTCATGCTCATTGCTGCCTGTTGGCTGGAAGCATATACTGTACTGTAGATTAACCTGTCTTCCTAGAAAAATACTTCAAAGCACTACTTAAGTAGTTTTTTGGGGTATCTGTACTTTACTATTTATATTTTTGACAACTTTTACTTTTACTTCACTACATTCCTAAAGAAAATAATGTACTTTTTACTCCATACATTTTCCCTGACACCCAAAAGTTACATTTCGAATGCTTAGCAGGACAGGAAAATGGTCCAATTCACGCACTCATCAAGATAACATCCCTGGTCCTCCCTACTGCCTCTGATCTGGCGGACTCACTAAACACATATTCTTCGTTTGTAAATGATGTCTGAGTGTTGGAGTGTGCCCCTGGCTAAACGTAAAAATAAATAAACATACTTTACTTTTGATACTTAAGAATATTTAAAACCAAATACTTTTACTCAAGTAGTATTTTACTTGGTGACTTTCACTTTTACTTGAGTCATTTTCTATTAAGGTAGCTTTACTTTTACTCAAGTATGACAATTGGGTACTTTTTCCACCACTGACGCTAACCCTAACTCTAGGTTTATGTTCAGATCCCGTTTCAACCCTAACCCTAATTTCATGTCCACATCTCGGTTCAACCCTTACCTAGCCTGAACCCTGACCCTATCCTTGTTAAGTATGTCTGTCTTTGGTCTACTTCTTCTTCGGGACGTCCAGACATATTTCCATAGGCAAGTGGACAGAAATATGTATCGGTAGTATGTGAATGGTTGATAAGGACTAAGATTAACACTCCCAGTCAGCCCAACTCTTTTTGTTCATACAAATGTATACAAATGTACATACACAGGTGTTGTTATGTTGTGTTTGTGTGCAGGTACGATTGCAGTGCTCAGTAACATGGTTGGAAGTGTGACAGAGAAGTTGTCTCCAGACAAAAACTTCCTGGTCATGATGAATAGGACTAACCTGACTGAGGTGAACATCATTGCCAGGGACAGGCATTACTGGAACCATGTCGTCCAAAAAGTTATACTTTTGAATCATCTGTCCATAGAACGTTCTTGAACACTGCATATTTCTAACCTCATCTCTCAGGGCCTGTGTTTTGCACAAACAAATCAAAAAGCGCAGCATCAGCAGGTGCCAGGTGGCAATTCATTCTTGGCACTTTAAAACAGGTTTTTCAGGCCAAAGTCAGTGATTGATTAAAAAAGTGGGAGCCAAAAAACATTTGATTAAAAAGTCAGAACAAAAGACAGCATCTATTTAATGATTGCACAGTAGCTCTGACTGAGAACTGGAGTGCTCTGGTGGTGACCCAACTCTGCCTTCCTCTCTTTCAGCCCGAGATACTCTGTTCTGGGACACGTTCCAGGGACAGAGCTCTACTTGGACATTGAGACCCACAGAGAGGTGAAACAGCAGACCTGGGGAAGCAGCAGGAAAAGTGGTTACCTGGGGAAGCAGCAGGAAAATAGGTTACATGGGGAAGCAGCAGGAAAATAGGTTACCTGGGGAAGCAGCAGGAAAAGAGGTTACCTGGGGAAGCAGCAGGAAAAGAGGTTACCTGGGGAAGCAGCAGGAAAAGAGGTTACCTGGGGAAGCAGCAGGAAAAGAGGTTACCTGGGGAAGCAGCAGAAAAAGAGGTTACATGGGGAAGCAGCAGGAAAAGAGGTTACCTGGGGAAGCAGCAGGAAGAGAGGTAGTGGTGGCAGTCAGTAGGTGATAATGTGAAGGGGAGAGTAAACCATAATAACCTTGTTGTTTGTTTGTGTGAGAGAAGTCCCTGGCATCACTATCTTCCACTCCTCTGCCACCATGTACTTTGCCAACGCTGGTCTCTATCTTGAGGCTCTGAAAGACAAGGTGGCCTTTTTTATACAACTGACAGTGATACTAATTTGCACTTCATGTGATACTTATTTGCACTTCCCGGGTTGCGTCCTAAATGGTACACTATTCCCTAGATAGTGCACTACTTTTGACCAGAGCCCTATGAAAGTTGGACACTACTTAGGGAATAGGGTGCAATTTGAGACGCATACCCTTGTGTTTCATGACTGCAGGCCTACCTTTGGAACATGTGTTTGATGTGATGACAGATTGAGTATCTGTCTTTAAAGTGGGCTTGACATCAGCAAGATGATAATCTACAAGAGAAGACAAGGCCAAGCAGAGACACAGAGAGAAGAGAGTTGAGAGGAGAGCTAGGAGGGAGGCCAGGAGACAGGTGAGACACTGTGGGAACCGCCATTCATATACATTTGAATAACATTTTCAAAACAATTCTGGAATTCATCTGGACATACACTTGTCCTGTATAAATCTATACAGTGCCTTCAGAAAGTATTCACAACCATTGACTTTTTCCACATTTTGTTGTGTTACAGCCTGAATTTAAATGGATAAAATTGAGATTCTGTGTCACTGGCCTACACACAATACCCCACAATGTCAAAGTGGAATTATGTTTTGAGAAAATGTTACAAATTAATTAAAAAGGAAAAGCTGAAATGTCTTGCGTCAATAAGTATTCAACCCTTTTGTTATGGCAAGCCTAAATAAGTTCAGGAGTACAAATTTCTCATAATAATATGCATGGACTCACTCTGTGTGCAATAATTAAGCAATAAAGCACAAGAGGCAGTGCTGTATTATGAATACAGTCACAGGTAAATGGCGTTGTGCGGCCCGACGCAATATTTTATAAAACTGTTACCAACATATAAAAATAACAATGAATTACATATTTTCATTAAAACGTTATTTTGATAAGTCAATTCATACAATTTCATTCTTCCACCAGAAGTTATAGTCCAGAAACAAATCTGGTTGTTAGTTCTTTTGGTCATGTTGCTATGCAAAAGGACTGGTCGTCCATTTTAAACAAAATATAATGTTCTTGTCACTTGCTAGCTAACTTCAGCTAACTCAGTCATGCCAAACATTGAACCTGGAATGACAGTAGCTGCATTTTCGTTTGTTTGAGCATTTTTTATATTGGCATTTGCTTGGATATGTCCATTGATAATGACATTTCGACTGGCTCACAAAAAGTGGTCTCGTCTCGTCTGGGCACCATTCACTCCATGTATAGTACTGAGATCGAAATTCAAAAGTGAAACAATTATAATTATTATAATTATTTAATTACAACAATAATACCAATATTACACATCAATACAGGGACATTCGAGGTCAGACAGGCAGACAGCGAGGCTTATATTAACCCCCGCTATACTAAACAAAATGCTAGGCTGGAAGCAAGGGGAAATAATGTGCGAGTTGAGATAAATACAAGAAATGGTTCGGACAGCAACATGAACATGATATTCTTATGGAGGCGCGGAGTTCATTTTCAGATGGAACTGTCAGCACGCATAGGTGTGTCTGTGACTGCCAATACATCACGGCTTGGAACGCTGCTCGTCCAATCATCATCCAGGATCCAAACAACCAGTTTCATAATAGTGTTTAACATGATTTTTTAATGACTACCTCATCTCTGTAACCCACTCATACAATTATCTGTAAGGTCCTTAAGTCGAGCAGTGAATTTCAAACACAGATTGAACCACAAAGACCAGGGAGGTTTTCCAATGCCTTGCAAAGAAGGGCACCTATTGGTAAATCGGTTTTTAAAAAAGCAGACACTGAATATCCCTTTGAGCATGGTGAAGTAATTCATTACACTTTGGATGGTGTATCAATACACCCAGTCACTACAAAGATACAGGCTTCCTTCCTAACTCAGTTGCCGGAGAGGAAGGAAACCACTCAGGGATTTCACCATGAGGCCAATGGTGACTTTAAAACAGTTACCGAGTTTAATGGCTGTGATAGGAGAAAACTGAGGATGGATCAACAACATTGAAAAAGTTACTCCACAATATTAACCTAATTGACAGTGTGAAAAGAAGGAAGCCTGTACAGAATTAAAATATTCTAAAACATGCATCCTCTTTTCAATAAGGCACTAAAGTAAAACTGCAAAAAAAATGTGGCGAAGAAATTAACTTTGTGTCCTGAATACAAAGCGTTACGTTTAAGGAAAATCCAATGACACATCACTGAGTACCACTCTTCATATTTTCAAGCATAGAGGTGGCTGTATCATGTTATGGGTATGCTTGTCATACATGGGAGTTTTTTTTTATATACAAATAATTGGGATGCACAGGCAAAATCCAGGTGGAAAACCTGTTTCAGTCTGCTTTCCAACAGACACTGGGAGACAAATGTACCTTTCAGCAGGACAATAACCTAAAACACAAGGACAAATATACACTGGAGTTGCTTACCAAGACGACATTGAATTTTCCTGAGTGCCCTAGTTACAGTTTTGACTTAAATTGGCTTGAAAATCTATGGCAAGACCTGAAAATGGCTGTCTAACAATGAACAACAACCAACTTGACAGAGCTTGAAGAATTTAAAAAAGAATAATGTGCAAATATTGTACAATACAGGTGTGTAAAGCTCTTAGAGACTTACCCAGAAAGACTCACAGCTGTAACCGCTGCCAAAGGTTATTCTAACAGGTATTGTCTCAGGGGTGTGAATACTTATGTAAATGCGATATTTCTCTATTTCATTTTCAATACATTTGCAAAAATCTCTAAAAACATGTTTTCACTTTGTCATTATGGGGTATTGTGTGTAGGTTGGTGATTTTGAATTCAGGCTGTAACACAACAAAATATGTAATAAGTCAAGGGGTATGAATACTTTCTGAAGGCACTGTATAACCTCGTTAAAACAAACCTGTTGTTTATGTGTGGACTGTGCAGAGGCGGGCTCTGAAAGCCGAGGAGCAGCAGAGGACAGGAGTGTTCTCTGTAGAGGAGGAGGCGGGGCAATGGAGAGAGCCGGGGGGCAGAGATGAAGACAGAGACAGGGAGGAGTCACTGGGTGACAACCAACCAGGTTGGTGCGGCTGCGAGAATGTCACTGTGTTCGTCATGCCAACAATGCCTCACACGCCCAATGACCACTAGTACCTGAAGGGCGGTTGAGACCCAGACAGTGCCACCCTGGTGACAGAGTCGGAACTGCAAGACGGGGACACCACCACTCTGGGCTTCAGTAATGAGGATACCCTGAGCCGGGAACTGGATAAGGTCTCCCTGGGATCGCTGGGCAAGTGGACCTGGGACATCCACTCCATCATCCTAGACCCGTCCACGGCTAACTTCATCGATACCGTGGCTATTAAGACCATGAGACATGTGAGCGGGTGATGATGAGGGGAGGGAAATTATGAGATAGGAGAGATGGCCTTGTATTGAAGAGAACAAAATCATAAATGACGGTGCCTCAATAAAAGGTATAGGGGGAGAAAATGATTAGGATGACAATTGTTTGGTCGGTTGAGATAAGAGTTTAGGATGTTAAAAGCAGAGTGCTTAATCCTCCAGTCCAGTTTTGACAGATATTCCACGACTTTTGTGAGATTGATGTTACTGTCTACATGGCTGAGTTTCAATGTACAGTGAGGGAAAAAAAAGTATTTGATCCCCTGCTGATTTTGCATTTTAATGAGGGAAATAAGTATTTGACCCCCTCTCAATCAGAAAGATTTCTGCCTCCCAGGTGTCTTTTATACAGGTAGTGAGCTGAGATTAGGAGCACACTCTTAAAGGGAGTGCTCCTAATCTCAGTTTGTTACCTGTATAAAAGACACCTGTCCACAGAAGCAATCAATCAATCAGATTCCAAACTCTCCACCATGGCCAAGACCAAAGAGCTCTCCAAGGATGTCAGGGACAAGATTGTAGACCTACACAAGGCTGGAATGGGCTACAAGACCATCGCCAAGCAGCTTGGTGAGAAGGTGACAACTGTTGGTGCGATTATTCGCAAATGGAAGAAACACAAAATAACTGTCAATCTCCCTCGGCCTGGGGCTCCATGCAAGATCTCACCTCGTGGAGTTGCAATGATCATGAGAACGGTGAGGAATCAGCCCAGAACTACACGGGTGGATCTTGTCAATGATCTCAAGGCAGCTGGGACCATAGTCACCAAGAAAACAATTGGTAACACACTACGCCGTGAAGGACTGAAATCCTGCAGCGCCCGCAAGGTCCCCCTGCTCAAGAAAGCACATATACAGGGCCGTCTGAAGTTTGCCAATGAACATCTGGATGATTCAGAGGAGAACTGGGTGAAAGTGTTGTGGTCAGATGAGACCAAAATGGAGCTCTTTGGCATCAACTCAACTCGCCATGTTTGGAGGAGGAGGAATGCTGCCTATGACCCCAAGAACACCATCCCCACCGTCAAACATGGAGGTGGAAACATTATGCTTTGGGGGTGTTTTTCTGCTAAGGGGACAGGACAACTTCACCGCATCAAAGGGACGATGGACGGGGCCACGTACCGTCAAATCTTGGGTGAGAACCTCCTTCCCTCAGCCAGGGCATTGAAAATGGGTCGTGGATGGGTATTCCAGCATGACAATGACCCAAAACACACAGTCAAGGCAACAAAGGAGTGGCTCAAGAAGTAGCACATTAAGGTCCTGGAGTGGCCTAGCCAGTCTCCAGACCTTAATCCCATAGAAAATCTGTGGAGGGAGCTGAAGATTCGAGTTGCCAAACGTCAGCCTCGAAACCTTAATGACTTGGAGAAGATCTGCAAAGAGGAGTGGGACAAAATCCCTCCTGAGATGTGTGCAAACCTGGTGCCCAACTACAAGAAACGTCTGTCCTCTGTGATTGCCAACAAGGGTTTTGCCACCAAGTACTAAGTCATGTTTTGCAGAGGGGTCAAATACTTATTTCCCTCATTAAAAAGCTAATCAATTTATAACATTTTTTACATGCATTTTTTTTCCGATTTTTTTGTTGTTATTCTGTCTCTCACTGTTCAAATAAACCTACCATTAAAATTATAGACTGATCATTTCTTTGTTAGTGGGCAAACGTACAAAATCAGCAGGGGATCAAATACTTTTTTCCCTCACTGTAAGTGAGACCTGTATCTGTAGCTAATAAATTAATAACTCATTACTTTGAATATGACATGTAAATAACTCTTTACTTTTCCTATCCAGTGTCTGTGGTGGAGCAGTTAGAGCTGGGAGGGTTCTTCTCGGAGTCCATCACTAAAGGACGTCTGTTTGCTACTGTCCATTAAGCTGTGCTCCACTGCCTTGGCCACCAGGGAACATCAATGCCCAGCTATGAGTATTCACTGGTGAAACGTGTACATCTGCATGCAAAAACACATACAATACAATCATTCAATACAGTTAAATGGAAGATACAATATGGAAGACTATCTGTAAATATTAACCATGTCTGTAAATATGTTATTGCAGGAGAGCACCAAACTCTGAGGAGCCTTACTGAAGTCTGATGTCGCTGCATATTTGTTATATACATAAAACCTTGAAATGTATCAAACCTTACAATGTATCAACATTTCAATAAAATGCTTAGTAATTAAATAAATGCCTACAAAAAGTGGAAGGTACAGTAAACCCCTACAACATCCAAATAATATCCTCCCCCGAACTAGAAGAGCAACAGAGCAGGGGGACTAGTTGCCAGATATGGGTCTGCGTCTGCCAGTGTTCTGTCACAGCTTTGGCAATGGTCCTTACTCCCTCCTCTGTGACTCCACTGAAATGAAAGAAATGACTCTCTATTATTCCAAATCTAAAGTCAACTTTATTTGGAGCAGAGGAAAGTGATTCAGTGCATTTGGAAACAAACGCCAAACAAGGTGAACAACACAACGTGGAACAAAGTGAACAATATGGAATAAATAAATAATACTTTTAAAATAAATATAAATCCAATACCTGAAGTAGATTGAGAAGTATTGGATGCAAGTGACATATATTTACAATTATTTTCCCCAATACATTAAAAATAGATAAATAAAGTAACAAATAAATAAAGTAACAATCTGTGCAACGTTTAAATAACAGTAAACATGCTTCATCACATCTGAAGATGGGGGGTCTTTGGGTGATGACAGACATCGTCAAGCTAGAATACTGAGGATCAGAGCAGAGACTATCTAAAGTCATCTCTCTAGTCTAGTGGCTGGAGTCTATGGCTATCTTTAACATGACACAGTAAAAGCCTGTACAAAGCCTAACGTAACAGCTCATACGAACACACGTACATGCAAATAGTAGCATGGTCGACCCCCCTCTGCAATGTATGTATCAGCGTGACAGTCTCACTCACTGAAGATCTAACATGAATGTTTTGTGACACACAGAAGGGAGGTAAAATTGTGCATACGTATATAATGTAAACGTTTGGAATTATGCATAAATTCAACGAACAGTGAAATCGGAACATTAGATTTTTCCCCCTCTCACAGTTGCATAAATCCAAAGTGACCACAGTCCCTGAATATCAAATATCTATCTTCGTACTGGCCACAGAGGTGTCGTCATGGAAGATTGTGCACAGCAGGACAGAGTCAAGTTAGGTTGGGGCATGTGGTGGGTGGTGGTAGGGTAGCTTTCTGGTAGCTTTGGGCTGAAGAGGGGTGGGCGAGGTTTAGGCCCACAAACTACACTGTCTGGACAAATGTTCGAACCACCCATACCTCTTTGGGACCAGCTTTCGAAGTTGGAACTAGTGTAATTAGTGGACCTAAGGGGAGGTTATTGTTTTTGGTTTCTAGGCTACAGCAGTACAGCTACAGTTCCTGATGGGAGTCAGCAGTGTGCAGTTGTTCAGGGCTGGTCTGAGACTGCTCCCCCTCGTCCTCTGCGTCCTCCTCCCCCTGCTGTGACACCAGCTGCTGGTAGCGAGCCTGGCGCTGGTAATCCGGGTCGATGTTGATCCAGTTATTGGCCACCCACTTAGTCCCGCGGGTGACCACACAGCCGCCGTGCAGAGAGTACTCATCCTGCTCCCCCACCCAGCCTGTTGGGAACAGAGAACAGTTAGTATGTGTAATCAAAAGCAGCTCTGATAACAGCAGAACTGATAACTACCATGTGGACTAATAGGAATATTATCTTTCAATTAATTTCTACAACAGTGGACATAACTTTTATCAAAACTATACATGCTTCAGTTTTTAAATAAGGACCTGAACAGCAGTGATTGAATAAAATGGGATAAATTGCTATGTGTGTATAATAAGTTGTGTGTCCTGTCTGAGGGGCAGTAATGAAGCTGTAGTAGTGTGTATATAGAAGGGTCATGCTATGTCTGTACAGTCTGTACCTTGTCCGTCAGAGAGGTAATTGTACCAGAACACAGCTGTCCCTTTAATAGGCTTCACCCTCAGGTTGCTCTTATCACAGTTCTTCCTCGTGTCCATAAGATCCACATCGTTCTGAATCAGAGACTGAAAACAAAAACATACACACCAGGGCTTGACATTAACTTTGTCACTTGTCCCAAAATAATATATGGTCTAACACCATTTTTACATCATTGTATGATGCAAGGAACCACTTTATAAAAACAAAAGCATTACTATCTATTTTACCATAGAGAATCAGACAAAGATTTGGGCTACACTCTGCCTATTGGCTTCTTTGCATATTCAAGCCTGTCTCAAAATACAACACTACCCTTTTAAGGCTCTCCTGGAGGATGGTTGGCCACCCTTGGTAGCCTATAAAATATTGGGTAACACTTTACTTGACACCCAGTGTCATAACACGTTATGACACGTTCATAACTATGTCATAATATGTCATAACAGCTGACATAACTTGTCATAACCTGTCATAATATGGTCATAACACAATCAGGAGCCATATATTTACACCTGTTGCGTTATTTTATGGCTGGTTATAACACCTACATAAGAGTGTCAAAACCCACATTTAATCAAATGAGTTTATTCAAAAAAACATTTATTTAAATAAACATAACAACAACAAAGGATTTAAGAAACAAACTTGACAGGGAAAAAATTAATTGGAATAAATGTGGGTTTTGACACTCTTATGTACAGTCGTGGTCAAAAGTTTTGAGAATGACACAAATCCTAATTTTCACAAAGTCTGCTGCCTCAGTTTTGATGATGGCAATTTGCATATACTCCAGAATGTCATGAAGAGTGATCAGATGAATTGCAATTAATTGCAAATTCCCTCTTTGCCATGAAGCTGAACTTAATCCCCAAAAAACATTTCCACTGCATTTCAGCCCTACCACAAAAGGACCAGCTGACATCATGTCAGTGATTCTCTCGTTAACACAGGTGAGAGTGTTGACGAGGACAAGGCTGGAGATCACTCTGTCATGCTGATTGAGTTAGAATAACAGACTGGAAGCTTTAAAAGGAGGGTGGTGCTTGAAATCCTTGTTCTTCCTCTGTTATCCATGGTTACCTGCAAGGAAACACGTGCCGTTATCATTGCTTTGCACAAAAAGGGCTTCACAGGCAAGGATATTGCTGCTAGTAAGATTGCACCTAAATCAACCATTTATCGGATCATGAAGAACTTCAAGGAGAGAGGTTCAACTGTTGTGAAGAAGGCGTCAGGGCGCCCAAGAAAGTCCAGCAAGCGCCAGGACCGTCTCCTAAAGTTGATTCAGCTGCGGGATCAGGGCACCACCAGTGCAGAGCTTGCTCAGGAATGGCAGCAGGCAGGTGTGAGTGCATCTGCACACACAGTGAGGCGAATACTTTTGGAGGATGGCCTGGTGTCAAGAAGGGCAGCAAAGAAGCCACTTCTCTCCAGGAAAAACATCAGGGACAGACTGATTTTCTGCAAAAGGTACAGGGATTGGACTGCTGAGGACTGGGGTAAAGTCATTTTCTCTGATGAATTCCCTTTGCGATTGTTTGGAGCATCCGGAAAACACCTTGTCCAGAGGAGACAAGGTGAGCGCTACCATCAGTCCTGTGTCATGCCAACAGTAAAGCATCCTGAGACCATTCATGTGTGGGGTTGCTTCTCAGCCAAGGGAGTGGGCTCACTCACAATTTTGCCTAAGAACACAGCCATGAATAAAGAATGATACCAACACATCCTCCGAGAGCAACTTCTCCCAACCATCCAAGAACAGTTTGGTGACGACCAATGCCTTTTCCAGCATGATGGAGCACCTTGCCATAAGGCAAAAGTGATAACTAAGTGGCTCGGGGAACAAAACATCGACATTTTGTGTCCATGGCCATGAAACTCCCCAGACCTTAATCCCATTGAGAACTTGTGGTCGATCCTCAAGAGGTGGGTGGACAAACAAAAACCAACAGATTCTGACGAACTCCAAGCATTGATTATGCAAGAATGGGCTGCCATCAGTCAGGATGTGGCCCAGAAGTTAATTGACAGCATGCCAGGGCGGATTGCAGAGGTCTAAAAAAAGAAGGGTCAACACTGCAAATATTGACTCTTTGCATAAACTTTATGTAATTGTTAATAAAAGCCTTTGACACTTATGGAATGCTTGTAATTATACTTCAGTATACCATAGTAACATCTGACAAAAATATCTCATAACACTGAAGCAGCGAACTTTGTGAAGACCAATACTTGTGCCATTCTCAAAACTTTTGACCACGACTGTAGTTGTCATAAGAAGCCATAAAATAATGCAATATATGTCACAACAGGTGTAAATATATGGGTCATGAAATTGTTATAACCATATTATGACAAGTTATGTCAGCAGTTACGACATATTATGACATGGTTATGACCGTGTCATAACGTATTATGACACTGGGTGTAAAGTAAAGTGTTACCAAATATTGCAACAATACAATTACAACCAAATACTTTTTATGTCTTTATAAAATAATTCCCTCCGGGGCTCGAAATTAAGGGCGTCCCATCGTCCCTGTGACAATAAAAAAAGATGTCTACAATTCAAAACAGACCACTGCACATAAAAAAATAAAAATAGCAATGAGGCTGATGCATCAGACCGTTTAGCTTAAAATGTTGATAACGTTTTATTTCTTCATATTATAAACTCAACAATGCACAAATGGCTGTAAACTTTGCGTGAATGTTCCAAAATGCAATTACATTTGACATTTTAGTCATTTAGCAGACGCTCTTATCCAGAGCAACTTACAGTTAGTGAGTGCATACATTTTTCATACTGGCCCCCCGTGGGAAACGAACCCACAACCCTGGCGTTGCAAGCGAGGGAAACACCTTTCTCAAAAGCGCACCACATGCGCGAGCGGTTTAATTTGACAGAGATTAAAATATCCGTTAGAAATTAAGAAAGGGGAGATCTAAAGATGCATCAACTAGCATGGGTTACTAATATGACTAGGATTATGGTTTTGGCTGCTGGACAATAAAATAAAGTTGATTTGAAATCGAATAGAACGTGAGAAGAATGCTGGTTTCAATGGTATATTAAGTGTTAATAAAATAATTCCCTCAACATTTCTATGGTCGTAAAATGACATAAAACGTCTAGGTTTTAAACAATTAAGTTTATGGTTAAATCGTTTCAAAATGCTCTTCAGCTCAGATTCAAGATGAGTGGTGTGCGGTGCACAACAGGCACTGTCCTTCAGTCTCCGCTCTTTTTACCATTTGATCTGAACGAACCGAGCCTCGAGTTTGTCGACAGAATCAAGTCTTTAAACGTTAATGTTAATTATCCTTCATTAGCCTATATTTGTCAAACATGACTGGAGCTTAGCCTATATTTATGTAATTAAAAGTCTTATTAAAGTTTGGATACATTTTCTGGCGCCTCCCTCATGTCAGCATCGGGTTGGACATGAGGCTGTAGCCAATATGCATATCACCTACATTTTGACATGTAGAGTTTTTTATTTATGTACATGAAAAATAGATTTGAATATTATTCCAATGTTGGCCTCTCTGATCTAATTCTGATCGGAGTAATTGTTTGATATTGTGATTTGTATTACTTTCAGACTTTCAAACTTAAATCTATATTCTTCTTGTCCGACTAGTTCTTTTAATTGTCCCGGACAACAGGACAAGCGTTAATGTCAAGCCCTGCACACATAATCACTCATTAATCCCATTGACAAAAACATACAGATACACATACAGCTGTACCTATATACAGACAAATACGCAAATGGTAATATAGATTGATATAAACAAACAAGAACGCACACACAGCCACACAGAGTAAATAACGCACCACTTCCTCATATGTCCTGTTGTCTGCCACAGGGAACGCGGTCTCCCCACCCCCCTCAACAGAGTTTAGGTAGAAGAGAACTGTGATGTACCTGGGTGTGCAACACACACATTTAATACACACACATACTGGAACACACCTACACACGCAGACCAACAACACCATGGATATGTAAGCCTAAGTCACAAACAAACTGATATATTTATATGCGCTAAGTTAAACAAAGCCATAAAACACATAGTTTACCACAAACACATCCACCTAACGTACACAGATGTTACAGTATATTATCACACAATAACTCAATCTAATCATCTTAATCTAAAAGACATCTAATCAGAATTATAAATATATAGTATTATTAAAACAAGGCCAAGAACAAGGCTTGGCTGACTCAACACAGCTCTCTCTCACCTGCAGGAGGTCTCGAAGGGTGTGGAGGTGTTGGCAGCGAGGCGTGTGTGTGTGCAGGCTGTCTCAGGGTAGACAGGGCCGCTGTCGTGGTGGGCGTGGTAGTGACCCCCCTGCTCATAACGCACCACCTGGAGGGGCTCACTCAGATCCACCAACGTAGAGGGCAGCCGGGTCAGACGGGTCACCCTAGGGAGGAGAGAGAGAGAGAGAAGAGAGAGAGCGAGGGAGGGACAAAAATCCTTAACATCAGATTCCAATAACCTTGGCCATGGTGTTTATTCTGACCGTATTTATTCATGCATTCGAACATATACTGAACAAAAAAATAAACGCAACATGTAAAGTATTGGTCCCGTTTTTCATGATCTGAAATAAAAGATCCCAGAAACAAAAAGCGTATTTCTCTCAAATGTTGTGCACAAATGTGTTTATATCCCTGTTAGTGAGAATTTCTCCTTTGCCAAGATAATCCATCCATCTGACAGGTGTGGCATATCAAGAAGCTGATTAAACAGCATGATCATTACACAGGTGCACCTTGTGCTGGGGACAATAAAAGGCCACTCTTAAATGTGTAGTTTTGTCACAACACAATGCCACAGAGGTCTCAATTTTGAGGGAGCGCACAATTGGCATGCTGACTGCAGGAATGTCCACCAGAGCTGTTGCCAGAGAATTGAATGTTCATTTGTCTACCATAAGCCACCTCCAACGTTGTTTTAGGGAATTTGGCAGTACGTCCAACCGTCCTCACAACCACAGACCATGTGTAACCACGCCAGCCCAGGACCTCCACATCCGGCTTCTTCACCTGTGGGATCTTCTGAGACCAGCCACCCGGACAGCTGATGAAACTGAGGAGTATTTCTGTCTGTAATAAAGCCCTTTTGTGGGGAAAAACTCATTATGATTGGCTGGGCCAATCCCCAGTGGGTGGACCTGGGGGCTGCACCCCTGCCCAGTCATGTGAAATCCATATATTAGGGCCTAATGAATGTATTTCAATTGACTGATTTCCTTATCTGAACTGTAACTCAGTAAAATCATTTAAATTGTTGCATTTATATTTTTGTTCAGTATACTTGGCTTTAAAAAAAAAAAATCCTCTATGCCAGTGTTTTTATCTATACACATGCGATTCGAACAATATCAGTAAAATCCCACCACTCTTTTCATACAAAACTAGATGTCATTAAAACATTTGGAATAGTAACGTAACAGAGGGAATAGAGGATAGAGAGGAGAGATAGAGAGGCCAGTGCAGAGGCGAGACTTCGAGGCCAGGACAACATTTGACAGTGATGCTCTCCTCACCTCTTCTTGAGGTCTCGGAGGACCTGGTGTGCCCCCTTTCCCTGGTACAGCCAGGTGTGTCTGCTGTTCCTGACCAGCTGGCTGCTCTTCACCCCGCGCTGCTGCAAGAACCGCTGGAACGCATCACTGCCCAGACTCCTGAACTCCTCCAGGCTCAGCAGGCCTAATGCAGACACACACAGACAGATTGACAGGGGTCACAGACACACAGGGGTCAGATAGATCTCACAAAGAAACACAGACAGGGGTCACTTAGCTACAGGTATATCTATATGAGGAGCCTGACAAAAATAAGCTTGTGGAAATGTTGTTGCTGTGGATGATCATTGTCCCTGTGCAAAGAATACAACTTTTTATTTTCATGCTTGTTCCCTGGAACTGGCTGTCAATTTGACTTGGTGTCACAGACAGATTATAGTGGTTGTGTTCTGTTGGTGTTATGGATTAGTTATGGATTAGTTAGCTCTGTATGCATAGAGATAGAGGGGCCTAACTATCAGAGAGGCCTTGCTGAGAATAACAGTCTCTTACCGTTACCGTCAGGGTCAGCCTTCAGTCCAGCATAGATCTCTCTCAGATCCTCAGGTGTCAGCCAGATCCCATCCCTCACTCGTGAATGTGTCAATATCTGTAGAAGGCCCAGGAAACACATACATAAAGCACACATTACACACACATATAGAAGATAATACAATACATCTTTATTGATCCATTATAAAGGAACATAATAAATTGATATTTTGCTGCCACAGTACACAGCCCCACCACTCAGTGGCCTTGTGGTTAGAGTGTCCGCCCTGAGATTGGAAGGACTGTAAAAATGTGAGTCTCTGCTTGGCACTCAGCATTAAGGAGATAGATTGGGGGTGAGGCCTTGTTATAGACTATTGTTCTGTCCAGTGGGTGTACTTGTACATCAAGCTGCCTCATGCTAGAGAAACAGGAGATAGGATCCTGCTACTATGATCTGTTCCGACTCGCATAAACCAAGGCTTGTGCAAGGTTACTTACTTCACTTCGCTCACAGACACACACATGCCTGTTTGCCCAGCCACCCACCTCCTGGAGTTGTAGCTGTCCATCCTGGTTGAGGTCCAGCAGGTTGAAAATCTCCTCAGGGCTGAGGTTGAGCTGCTCCGTCAGCTCCTCCTGTCCTTCAGGCACCATCACCTGGCTCTCCATCAGGCCCTTCAGCTGGGCCAGCTGGACCACCACACGACACTCCTCCTCAGACAGGAACCCTGGTATCTCTGGAGAGACAGATACACACACAGCACACACACGCGTAGGTGTTCACACACATGCAGATGCACACACACAAACATTAGGCTTCATACACAATGTAAACACAGAACCTTGGAGAGCAATGACAGCATCAGACACTGACTCCGTGCAGAGGGCTGCAATGCAGAGCAGAAGTTTAGTAGCAGAGCTCTCACCAAACAGCAGGGGCTTCAGGCTCAGGGTCCGCATTTCATGCACTTTGTCTGGCACCAGTGACACCTTCTGGACATGGCCCACCTGAGAGACAAAACACTGTGACTATAACTTCACGCCTTCAAGATTACATGGAACCCGCCATTCATATGGAAGTAGAATAGCACAACTGACACTAGCCCAGCGCTGAGGCTTATTATACAACTACTGTCTGTAAGTTCCCTGCCTGTGCCATTAAACCCCTACAACTTATCCAGAACGCTGCAGCCCGTCTGGTGTTCAACCTTCCCAAGTTCTCTCATGTCACCCCGCTCCTCCGCACACTCCACTGGCTTCCAGTTGAAGCTCGCATCTACTACAAAACCATGGTGCTTGCGAGGGGAACAGCACCTCATTACCTTCAGGCTTTGATCAGACCCTACACCCAAAGAGGGCACTACGTTCATCCACCTCTGGCCTGCTAGACCCCCTACCTCTACGGAAGCACAGATCCCGCTCAGCCCAGTCAAAGCTATTCGCTGCTCTGGCACCCCAATGGTGGAACAAGCTCCCCCACGACGCCAGGACAGCGGAGTCACTGACCACCTTCTGGAGACACTTGAAACCCTACCTCTTTAAGGAATACCTGGAATAGTATAAGAGTAATCCTTCTACCCCTCCTCCCCTCCCCCTCATAAAAAAAAAGAAGGGTGGTTGTCCCACTGGCTATCCTAAATTGAATGCACCAATTTGTAAGTCGCTCTGGATAAGAGCGTCTGCTAAATGACTTAAATGCACATGTAAGGTTGAGCTCTGGGCTAAACAGACACATAATTACAAGTGCATCCTTATCTCACCCGTATGCCCTCTAGGCGTAGAAGGTACATGTCCCGATGAAAGGCAGAATCTGACTGTTGCTGATGGGACTCGGGCGGTTTGTGATGATTGCTTCCCCTGCTTGCCTCATCCCTGTTCGGGGTGGCCAGTACGTCTCCTGGGCCGTTGTTGTAGTGCACATATAGGAGTAGCACAATGACATTGATGATGTATACATGGAAAAAGACCATCACCACCATGAAGTAAGAGCGGGAGCATATGCTGCTCTTCTGCAACGAGACCCGCTCTCGTGGCATAGGGGGTAGGGTCGGTAATGGCAGGGTTTCATGTTCATCACCGTCGTCGCAATCCTGTGGTTCAATCATCGTTGACCTGATATGATGATGGACCATAAGCTTATCACTGGTTTGTTGTTCTGATTACCTGTAGCTAGATGTCTTTCAGTTGACGTTGTAAATAATGTGGTCAGTTATCTATCCATACACAATCCATACTGTCCCGACTCAATCATCATATCTAGCCAGTCATAATCCCCATTCTCTGATACGGTACCTGTCAACTAGCTAGTTTATGTCATTATTTTCTCTCAAATTAATCAATAAGAGACGAAACAGGTGAAGCTTGGTGGTACTTTAGGTTGAATTCACAGCAACGTTAGTTCCATATCACACTCCCAGCACTGCAGAGGACTTCATCCAGCGTCTTATTTACGTTGCAGTTTCAGCAGTCCGTGTTGCGTACCTCTAAAAATAGAGGGAAAAGAGCCATTTCAAAAGGAGCGATTTATCCATTCGAAGGTCATTCGTGCAGTGATCATCTATTATTATTGAAAAACAAACAAATATGCGGCCGACCCCGACCTCTCATATCTGCCACAAATTCCTCTGTGGCGTTTGTTTTCCGGCTGATAACGCGCCACCATTGCCCTGACAACTACTGCAGCATCTCATCTCGTCGCTACTTCAAACTATCGCGCTGACAGCGAGCAGGGAGCAAAAGGACAGTAGTGCCCCTGATGGCTCGAGCCGACACTGCATGCTGATTCCCTTGCCAAAGACAGTGATTGACAGTGCATTTCCACGTAACACGTTCCCTCTAAACAGAAGAAATGCCATAACGCAGAAGAAATGCCATGCCCCATTATTTTGCAATATATAGATCAACGTTTTTCTGTTGTCGAATCAACATTATATCAGCCCCTTTTCAATGCAACAAAACACATCAAACTTTGCAAGATTAAGTCTGTGATTTTGTGTAGGCAGAGCCAGAGCACAACGGAGTAGAATTCAATTGGGGTGGGGTGAGGTAGCCCGGTCTTTCAATCACCTACTGGTAAATACGCTTTTCAGATCAGAGCGCATATCCGCGGTTTGCACATTTGTTGATATTCTTTGCTAGTTAGAAAGTTGCACAAAACGTGTAGGTTACATTTCAAGCTGTCTTTGAAAAGCCAGTCAGGTAAAAAGCTTACGTCTTAATTAAAGGGGCAATGTTGTATTTTGAGACACGCTTAAATATGCAAATAAGCCAATAGGCAAAGCAGTAGTCTACATTGTCTAATTCTCTGTATGGTAATAATAATTAATTGTATTTTGTAAAGTGGTTTCTTGCATCATACAACACAATATAATTTACAGTTACCTATTTGGCCCATGGTGTTGCAGACCAAGTAAAACATTCATGAATTAATGTCAAGCCTTTCATAATGTAAAAACATTTTTAAACGTCTCATGCAATGTAGTCCTGCATTGAACACCACATATAGGCTACTGTAGGCTATATCATAGAATTTAAAAGCAATTTCCATGTGAAAATGTTATGGGATTTGCTCCATTGGTTTCGTTGGTAGGCATACATTATGCTCAAATAGCCACAATAGCCTATTGGCTACTGTCTAAAACTGTAAGGGTACAGCCTCAGTGTTCACTGTAAACGTGTGCCGGAAGTTGCACAACATTCTCCACTCACAAGACCAAAAATTTGCTCAGTGCCCCAAATAATTAGAGGGAACATGGTTGGGGTTGATGAAACAACGGTGCCCATTCATTTTAAAGAGAACCTGCTCCTAAAAATCAACTAATCCCTTTGAAAACGGCCTACGTGGCATCGATATGAGTCAGAAACAATTATTCTAGAATCAAGATTGACTGCGAAGTGTAAATAGAATAATTTTGGTCATAAAGTCAGTCTCGTCTAAAACGGAGTTTGGAACCTCACCCACCTAGCAAAATGTCATTGAAAATAGTTGAAAAGACGATTATGCCCGACGTTCAATCTACTTTAGGTTTTGGTTGAAAGTGAAAGTTGAAAATACTTGTTTTTCATGTTGTTGAAAATACGTATTTTTTATGTCGTTGAAACAACTTATTTTTATGTCGTTGAAAAGATGACTATACAAAGATGTCCATCTACCGTTCGGTTTTGATTGAAAGTGAAAGTTGAAAATACTTATTTTTCAGGTCGTTGTTTCAAGGACTTGAAAACAACGTAATTTCAACGTACTTACATGCACATGGGCACAGTATAACAAATTGGTCTATGAACAATTTTATTAACAATAATACATCACACATTATTTATTTACAACATTCAAGTGGTATGGTCACTGTGTACAAAATGTTATGGACACCTGCTCTTTCCAGCTATGATCCCTTATTGATGTCACTTCAATCAGTGTAGATGAAGGGGAGGAGACAGTTTAAAGAAATATTTTTAAGTCTTGAGACATGGATTATGTATGTGTGCCATTCAGAGGGTGAATGGGCAACACAAAATATTTAAGTGCCTTTGAACGGGGTATGATAGTAGGTGTCAGGTGCATCGGTTTGTGTCAAGAACTGCAACCCTGCTGGGTTTTTCACACAACAGTTTCCCGTGTGTATCAAAACTGGTCCACCACCCAAAGGACATCCAGCCAACTTGATAATTGTGGGAGAGTGCAGTGACGGCTTCGGAGCCTTAACGGTCGCCATATGATTGTGCAGGCCAAAAGGAAAGATGGCGGAAGAGGACGATAAAGTGGATTCTGAATCCAATGGCAGTAGAATCAAGGAGAATTTGAGTATTGTCCAAAAGAATGGAAAATGAAGCAAAGTAGTGTACAGAGATGAGAATGTCCCTTCGTATCTTGTAGGAGTACGGTTTGTTAATGAGGAGCAGCTGAGCAGATACCAATATTGAACAAACCATTTGAGATATCTAAACTGGTGGTGAGAGTGCTGGGTAAAGTGAAGTCTGTGAGGATTTTTTGTGCTTCTGCGGATCAGAAGGAACGTGCGTTGCATCTCACCCGATTTGATAAGTTTGAAGTGTCGTGTGTGTCTCTTCGGAGCAGGGCACCCCTCAAGGGGGTTATATCTGGTGTCTCGTGGGAAGTCGATTTTGAAGTGATTAAAAATATTCCTGGCGTGATTAAGTGTCTATCTGTTCTTTTGTTTTTTGATATGGAGTCTCTCCCTACTAAAGTGCAGTTGGGTTATATAAACTACAGAGTCAGAGCATTTATCCCAAGACCAATGCAGTGTGATCATTGTAAAGCTTTTGGTCATGTTTCAAGTGTTTGCAAAAGGGAGAAGCCGAGATGTCCAAGTTGTGGAAAAGATCATATCATGTGTTATAAAAGTGAGGAGAATGTGACATGTTGCAATTGTGGTGGGAACCATGAAGCTACATCTTTCGTTTGCCCGACAAGGGTGAAAGAGAATGAGGTGGCCAAAGTCAGGGCTGTCCAGAGCATTTCATATGCAGCAGCTGTTAAAAGGGTTGAGGGTTTGAATGGTGCTCCTGAAGAGTCCATGGTGGTGGATAGGCCTTCACTGCAGGCTGCAGGGGTTGCCTTTCACCAACAGGACCCTGACATTTAAAAAGTTAAGAAGGTGGACTTTGTGGCCTTTATAGCTATGGAGATTAATGGCACTGCCAAGGTGGAGAGAAGGTCCTGGAAGATAGATATCATTGTGAATGCGGCAGAGCGGTTCCTGGGACTGAAAGATTTCTCGGCGGAGGAGTTACATTGTCACAAGCCGTACCACCCTCTCAGGCCCTAGAGCCTGAGAAGAGAGAAATTGAGATTTGAAAGAAGGCAGAAGTGTGAGTTTTGTTTTGATTTTGTCAATGTAAAATGTTTATTTAGGTGGATTAAGTTAGTTTCCCTATCACACATGGATTTTCTTTTTACATTGTTTTGGTTTTCAACCTGTCCAGTTGGTAGCGGCAATACACCTTTTTGGGTTGTAGTCCGCCATAAAACCCATAGAAGAAGAAGAAGAAGACAACTGTGGGAAGCATACCTTGTAGAGTCCATGCCCCGACAAATTGAGGCTGTTCTGAGGGCAAAAGGGGGTGCAACTCAGTGCGTCACAACGAGTAAATGAAGGTTGGGTTTGGATTACAATTATGTCAACAAATTATACCCCCTTTTGCTTAGCTCCATGTGCAAATCGCCCCTCCGCCCACTTCGCTTTCCTTCATTAAATGGGTCTTGCTTGTTTCATCGCCCCCAACACTTTCAAAGGATCACGGGCCATATTTGGATTGACCATGCCTCCACATCCAAAGTTCTATGGTTTGCATGACCTGCCGAAGGACCCTAGTATGCAGTTGGAATAGGTGCTTGGAGTTCGTTGGTCCCCAAATCTGCACCAGTAACGCTAGCATGGTGTGCAACGGCCGATGGTGGTGAGTATAACCAGAGATACTTAAGCAATAAGGCCAGAGGGAGTGTGGTATATGGCCAATATACCACGGCTTAGGGCTTTTCTTAGCACAACGCAACGCGGAGTGCCTGGATACAGCCCTTAGCCGTGGTATATTGGCCATATATCACAAACCCCCAATTTGCCTTATTTGCTATTATAAACTGGTTACCAAAGTAATTAGAGCAGTAACATGTTTTATATATACCACGGCTGTCAGCCAACCAGCATTCAGGGCTTAAACCATGCAGTTTATAATGGTATATAACGACCACTCTGGTATAACTTAGTTACTAGATAACGTTATTGCTGGTTATGTGGATAAGCGATGCAGGCTAGCTAACGTTAGCATAGCTAGCTAGATAAATAGCTAGCTAGTTACCTCATTACAATGTACATAGCTCTTACAAGTTTATTGTGTATTGTCTAGATACTACTGGTTATGTAACGTTATCATTTGATAACACTAGCTAACATTAGCCTACAAGTTGGATTTGCAAATTAGTTCATAGCTCATACAAGTGTATTCTGAACCATCAGATCCTCCTCTCCACCCTCTCCGAGCTGGGCATCTCCGGCGCGGCTCACTCCTGGATTGCGTCCTACCTGACCGGTCGCTCCTACCAAGTGGCGTGGCGAGAAGCTGTCTCCGCACCACGTGCTCTCACCAC